GATTCATCATTCTGGCTTAAAGATGAGAATCTAAAGAAACCTTTATAAGGAAAGATATTATTTTTGGCTAAGATGTAATAAACATTTTTCTTAGAAATTCTACTTGAAAACATTGTTAACAGTTTTCATTTTTTTCCAAGATAGGTTTTTCCAATCCAAGATAGGAAAGATAAATATGACAGTGTATGTTTATGTACTGTCCTGTGTGGGCTTCCCAGCAGCATGCAGTTTGAAAGCTTCATACCACTGTGAACGTCTGGAGAAATATTGATTTCTTTTTTCTAAACATAATAGCAAAGTAAGCAAAATTCAGTTGAATATGAACTTTGGATAACTTCACTAATTTGTTGGATGCTTGATTTATTACTATAAAGGGATTTACAAATTGTTTTACTACTCTTGTTTTAGATAGAAATTTTGTTCCTTATATCTCCTTCCAGTTTTGAGATTCTGTGATGTCTGCTTGTTTTCCAAAACGATTCTACCAATTTTCAATTCCACTGGCAACTAATGAATCTACCTGTTTGTTCATATCCCTGATAACATTTCTAGTTGGAATGCTTTCCTTGTTTTTAATGTCTGCAGATTTATAAAACATCTGTGTTTGTTTGGCTCTTTTTCTGTGATGTCTGTTCTGTTCCACTGGTCTATTTTTCTTTTTTCCAGTGTCAAATTGTTTTGGTGAGAGCTATTTTATATAATTTTTTTTAAAATGAGGGGTGAAGAAGGTGTATTTTTGTCCAGTTTTGATAGGATTCCTGTTTTTTCTATGAAAATCTTGTGATTTTATCTAGTTCCATAGCAAAATTTTACATTAAACAAAATAATAAAGGTAATTGTAGTATCCTCTTCCAATCCTTTTTTTTTGTGTATTTAAAAACACAAACTTTGGTAGTTTAGACTTCCAGGAGTTGTATATCAAAGTAAAATTAAAATGGGTACACAATTTAGATATAAAAGCTGATACTGTAAGCAAACTGGGGGAGCAAGGAATAGTTTACCTGTCAGATATGTGGAGAACAGAAGAATTCATGACCAACAGGAGATAGAGAACACTATGAAATGCAAAATGGATAATTTTGATTACATTAAATTGAAAAGTTTTTTGCACAAACAAAGCCAATGTAACCAAGATTAGGAGGGAAGCAGAAACTGGGAAAGAATTTTTTCATCATGTGGTGACTAACTTTGACAGACTTAGCCGTTCTTAGCAATGCAAGGATCCAAAACAATTCGAAAGGACTCATGCTGGAAAATGCTGTCCTCATCCAGAAAAAGAACTATGAAATACTATTGTGCTATAAGAAGTGATGAGCAGGAAGATTTCAGAAAAACCTGGAAGGACTTATATGAACTGATGCAAAGTGAAGTGAGCAGAACCAGGAAAATATTGTATGTAGTATTAGCAACATTGTGTGATGATCAACTAGGAATGACTCAGCTATTCTCAGCAACACAATGATCCAAAACAAGTACAAAGGACTTAGGAAGGAAAATGCTATCCACATCCAGATAAAGAACTCATGGACTCTGAATGCAGATTGAAGCATACTTTTTTCACTTACTTTATTATTTTTTGTGGATTTTTTCCCTTTTGATATGTTTCTTCTTTCACAGCTGACACTAATATGGAAATATCTTTTACACGATAGCCAATGAAATTGCCTACCATTTTAGGAAGAAGAGAGGGAGAAAAATTTGGAATTAAAAAATCTTGTAAAAATGAATGCTAAAAATTGTTTTAATGTGTAATTGGGGGAAAAAAAGTACTATTTTAAAATAAAAAACACGAACTTTTTTGTATAGTTACAGTAATTTGCTTTTCTCATTCTTTTTTCTTTGCTCTACAAATTTTATATTAATATTTTTCTAGTTCTTTGTATTCTTCATATTTCTATACTTCATGGATCTGTGATCTTCTCCCAACCAGGCCATATGTTTTCATCTTGAAAAATTCTTACCTGTGTTCTCCTATAGGTTCTCTGAAGAGTATCTGACCAGTGTGATTTCATGGAGTACAGCATTTGGACTGTCCTTCTGTTATTCTTCATTTTATATTTGTCATTTTTATGGTATGGTAATATTCTGTTACTATGCCAAAGCTTGTTCATGTATCTATTAGATATTCATATGTCTTAATAAGGGTTTGTGCAGGATGACCACTCAGGTTACTTCTAGCTCTAAATCTATGATTCTGTGACTTACTTAGGTTGGCAGCTTCAGTGATAATTTTTTTATTTTTCCCTCTCACTCACCTCCATAATGTATCAAACCTCGCATATATGTATGTGGCATCTTTTTGCTTACCCAGAGGTAACACCAGTTTGGAGGCAGTATGTTTTAGTAGAAAGAACACTGGCTTTGTAGAAGGAATACCTTAGTTCAGATCCCACCTCTTGTGCCTACCTTCTGTGACTTTGGACAAGTCATCTAACCTTAATCTTGCTGGGTTTAAGCTTCCTCATCTGTAAAGTAGAAGAGTTAATCATTCTAAATCAGGCCTGCAAAACATGAAGTCCATGCATTACTTGTGGAGTGCCAGAGAATTTTGGATGGCTCGTAAAAAATGTAGGGTTGCCACTGCACTCTCCTGTGTATTATTGACCCATGGCAACCGACTGTTGTCCGTCTGTCTCTAGTCTAACCTATCTGCGGCCTGAAGAAATTTAGCCTATTTTAATTTTGGCCCTGGCCTACTGCCAAGTTGTGCGGGTCTGTTCTAGATTGTTCTTATGGTCCCTTCCAGCTCTTCATCTATGATCCAGTGATCCTAAGTTCAGGTTTCTTTCCTGGAAAATTACAATAACCTCTTAATTGATCTCTCATTTTGTATTCTTTTCCTCTTCCGTCTTGCTCTTATTAATTTTCTTGATCTAGATAATTTGTCAACTTCTCAAAAAACAAATAAAGCTTTTCCTTTTCTATAGCTCAGTGTAGTGTGCCAGCTACTTTTGGATCAAATTATTGGTGCCTTGTCCACAAGGATCATGCTATGTCTCTAATTAAATTTCAGAAGAACATTAAAATAACCTTCCATTTAAAAAAATGTGTGTGTGTGTGTGTGTATGTCTACACACTGACACACACTGGGATGCCTAACCTAGTCAGCTTTGATAGAGGCCGAGGTATATCATTTGGTAAGTTGGTGAGTACAAATTCATATAGTCCACTGTATCTTCCTGCCCCTTGAATACCAAAACATGCTTTTAGCCCTTATACTCATCTTCTTCCCAACTGCCCTGCACCCAACAACGTTTGTCTTGGCCTGTGACCTATAACCATAAGTAGTACCATTGCTTCCAGAATGTATTTGTTAATCAACATCCCTGTGACTTCACTCACCTTCCCTGTGGTTTCCCAGACCAAAATACATTTCCTTGGCCACCATTCTCCTGTAACTCTTACCTTGCCCGATTAGAATGTAAGCTTCTTAAAATGAATGTCTCATATACATATTTGTATTGCCAGTCTTTAGGGCTGTGCTTGGTGAACCACTTAATAAATGCTTTTCATTTGTTCATTCATTGTACACTTGAGGTCTTTTCTGTGTAGAGAATTTTTAAATTTCTGCAAGCAGCAATAGCATGGTCATTTTGTACCTGAAATAAAAAATCCAAATGACTTGTTAATTTTCTTCTCAATTAAAAGAATTAATATTATATATGGTATTAAAAATGGAAAGTGAAGCTATTCCAAGAGAAGCCCAACTTATAATTCTGCAGAAGTGGTAATTCAAATCAGGCTTGAGTGCACAGGATAAAATCTCTATTGTATGATATGCTTTCTCAAATGCTTTTATTTATGGAATGACATACATGCATTCATTTATACTTTTTTATAGGACCATCTAAAATGAAGTAAAATAGACCTACTTCTTTGCCATCCTGTCATAGAGACCTTGCAACTTCTGGTCTTTTTCTTCCTTTGTTGCATGTTTTTTACTCTCTAATTACTTTCTTGTGATTTCCTAGGGAACATGTATTCTTTGACTACCTGATTTAGATTTAAACATTAAAAAATTCAGTAAGAGGAATTTGCAATAATATTTGTTGAGCTCTCCCAGCTTCTCAGTTCTGTGAAAGCAAAATTTTCTGTTACATTGCCCACTAATAAAGGATACCTGGTTTTTTGTTTTTGTGGTTTTTCATTTTTCATTCCTGTTTTCCCAATTCTATTTTACAACATTTGCTCTAAGATAATTATATATTAAGTTATTTTTTAAGTGTCTGCTTTGTGCATTGTACTTGTCTGGGTAATGGTGTAGGGGGAGGGGTACAAAAATACTTTTAAATTGTTTTACTAGGGCTAAACCATGAGCAATTATTTTTCCAAACTATAACTGCCTTTCTAAATCCTTTACTTGTACACTGATAAGCTGAAAAACATTCAGAGAAGAACATTTATAATGGTGAATGAGTTGAATCTATATTACATGAGGATCAGCTGAAGGAACCTAGAGCATTTAGCCTAGAGCAGAGCAGATCAAAGGGAACCTGAGAGCCATCTTCAAGTATTTGAGTGGTTGTCATATGGAAGAGGGATTTAGACTCATTCTGCTTGTCCCTTGAGGACAGAAATAGGAATGATAGGTAGAGGAAGACACAAAAAGTCAAAATTTAATTTTGATGTCAAGGAAAATTTCCTAATAAATTAGTAGAATAGGCTGTTTCAAAATGTATTGAGATTCTCCTCACTGGACATCTTCAAATAGAATCTGTATGTCCATATGTTGAGTGTGTTGTAGAGGGTAATTATTTGTGTGTGGGTTGGGCTAAGTGACCACTGTGGTACCTTCCATCTCTTAAATTCTGTGTTTTGGGGGGGGGGGTTAAGCCCTGTACTATGTTATGAAATATACAGGTGGCACATGTCATAAAATTCACTTTGTAGTTGTATCTTACTGCCTGCTTTGAATGACATGGTCATCAAGATTCTGCTACTAGGATCTTTGAAGTTTTCCATAACTAAAACATGTTTTTTCTTACTGTTTTTCATCTTAGGCCAGAAGACTTGTCTTCATCTGCATGGCATCTTTCCTTACCTCTATGTGCCATATGATGGATGTGGACAGCAGCCAGAAAGATATCTCCGTCAAATGGCAGTCAGTATAGACAGAGCACTTAATGTGGCTTTAGGCAGCCCATCTTCCACCGTTCAGCATGTGTTCAAAGTGTCATTAGTATCTGGAATGTAAGTATATGTTAGACATTTTTTTAGTCTTCCATTGACTTATTTCATGTCAATTTTACACAAAGAGAAAGTTATATTCAATTTAAATTTAGACTCAGGGTTACAAAATGTTTTACTCTTGACTGGTATTTGTATGTTACATCTAGGGCAAGTCAGTCAAGTTACCCTCTTTGCTTTGATTTTTCAGTGTTTGTTGCAGAAATTGTAATTAGTCATGTGATAGCATTGTTTTATTCTTATGCTTTTTGTTTTGCTTTCTGGGATCAAAGCAATGAATTTTAGAAGATATAGCATGGAGAGATAAGGATCTTTCCTGATCTCACAATGCCAACAGTTATCTTGACGCTAAATATGATCATCATCTTTAATTTTCTATTGCTTTAAATGCACTACTCTACCTGTAGGTGTAATTAGGGATCTTTTTGAGACCTTTACAGGAAAATTAATTCTGTAATCATGTTGATTTTTTTTTCTATTCTGTTATCCATTATACCATTAACATAAAATTGGCAGTTGATTATCAGAAATGAATAGTTTCAAAATTCATTTTACATTATCCTGCTTCAGGCCTTCATTTTCTTTTGCCTTGTTTAGTATAATAGCCTAATATGTGTTCTCCTTGCCTCCAGTCTTTTCTCTTTTCCAATCCTTCCTTAATATATTTCCCAAAATAATCTTTCTAATATTTTAATACACTGGCCTGCCTATGTTCTTACTGTACTTTAAAAAACAAACGGAAAACCTTCAGTGGCTCCTTGTTCCATGAAGGATGAAATGTCAGCTTCTTATCCTAGATTTCAAGGCTCTCCAAGCCAACATTACAGCTTTTTTTCACCCTACTCCCCTTACTCACAAATGAATAACATTTTTCATGTAATGGCTTAGAGAGACATTCACATGGAGCACTAGCCAGCAGTTGGTGATGCAGTTCAGAAAAGACATTTGGGCTGTATATAGGGATTAGGAAGTAATCGGCATAGAATTAATCATTGAAACAGTAGTGTTTTGAGGGAGGGAGAGTTCAGATGAAAAGCTTCAGTCCACACAGAGATAGTTTTAAGAAATGTTGTTGCTATTCATAAGGAGAGGAAGAGAATGTCTGCTTGCAAGAACAGTCTCTATGTTCAACATCTGTGTCCACGGGGGCAGCACATGGGTCAAACTTACATGTTGTTTGAGATAAAATGGCTAGTATGATACCAACAGGAGAGTGTTCTCTCTTCTGGAAGACCAGTAAAATGGGGGTATTTTCTAAATTACCTGATAATAAGGAGTAAGGAATAAAGAGCAGGGAATTAGGGAACTTAACCCTAATGGTACCATCCCAACAAGAGGCTGAAAAGGGGCAGTGGCGGGGAGGGGTGGGGCGCGCTACCAGTTGAACTAGTTAGATTGAGTTAGATCACTGAGGAAGTATAAAAAGAAAAGAGAAACAGGCAAATAGGAAAGAGTTTTGTAATAAACTCACATTAAGGTGAGCAAGTGATAAATGATGATGATTCAGCAAGGGAGACTGAGTTAGAGTGGTCAGAAGAACCAGAAAACTATCGCAAAAGCCAAGGGAGGTGAAAGTTTTCAGAAGGTTATGGTAGATGAAGACTGAAGAAATTAGCAATTAAGAAATTGTTGGGAGCATGGGAGAGAAAAAATGTGAGTTGAATGTTGAGGTCAGAATCCTGATTGCAAGAGGCTAAGAAGCAATCAGGAGGTAAAAAAGTATAGGTGCACTCTTTTCTAGGAAGTGGCTATAAAAGGAAAATGAACTATAGCTTAATGGGATAGTGGAAGATTTTTGTTTTAAGAATGGGGAAATCTGAACAGATTTGTGGGCAGCTGGGATGAAACCAATAGATAAAAGTTATTAAAGATGAGAGGAAATAATTGAAGAGACAAGCTTTCAGAGGAGACTGGAAGGGATAGAATTGAGGGACAAAGTAGAGGTTTGGGCCTTGGCAAGGAGGTGGTTCACCTTATTCAGAGTTTGGAACAAAAGAAGATGAAAAGAGAGACATCATAAAAGTGTTTTGAAATACAGAGTAAGTGACAAGAAAGGAGCTCACAGTAAATTACTGCTGAGAGGAAAAGGGCAGAAAAGAGTATGCAGGGAACTTGAGAAGAGGAAGAAAAGTTTTGGAACAAACTCTTTAGGGAATACTGCAGAGAGTTCATCAGGGAAGAATAAAAAGGTCTAAGTGTAGAAATGAATGTTCTGTTGAGAATAGAAAACATAAGTATGTAGTGAAATCAGTCAGTAGAGTTCAGTGACTTCCTGCAGTGGCTTGGAGAAGGTAGATGCTGTAGGGGATGAAGAGTTGCAGTTTGACAGGATGTTATTAGCAAGGAGTAAGGGGTTCCACAGGTAAAGGAGAATGTATAATTGAATTAGTCCATCATAGGATGAAGACTAATGAGTGGAGGAAAGTGAAGACAGAAGAGGAGTGAGGGACTGAGATAATAAAGAGGCATAGAGGGCCTGGAGATCACTAGGACAATTACAAATTAGTTTAGGAGACAGGAAGAGATAAGAAAGGATAGGAAGTTATGAGAGAGGGGAATTGTAGGATCAAGGAGGTAACACTGTCATAAGTGATAATGAGATCTAAGACCAAGGGTGTACAAACAATGAGAGCCAAATCCAGTCTATGAGCTAAGAATAATTTTTACATTTTTAGATATAATAAAACTTAGTTTAAAAACTTAGAATTTTTTTAACTAGCAAACTGGGGGAGAGAACCATGGATTGCTGGCCTCATTTCTAAGCTGTAATCATCCCTGTGGAAAGCTAAGACAGAATGAAGAAACAAATTAGAAGAGAGAAAGAAGAAAGGAAGACCGAACTAGATTCTGAACTCCTTGAAAATTAGGCAGAATGTCCTGAAGGCTGATGGATGCCTCGCACCAAGGATCTAGGCAGTGTGATTTCAACAGATGAAATGAACCTGAAAGAATGAGACTTCTGCTAGGGATGATGACAAAGGAAGGATCTAGAAGTAGCATTGAGAAGTAAGAAGTGTACCTATTTTTCCTAGTACCTGATGTTTTGTTGGTATGAGAGAAGAGATGTTTAATACTGGAAAAGGTGGCCAGAGAGCACATATCTTCTAGAGAAAGCAAAGTTTCAGTTGGTACAAAGAGATGGAAAGATTGTGGGAAGAAGAGGTCTAGACTGAACAGAAATTTGTTGATGATATATTGCGAATTCCAGAAGGAATAACACAAAGGAAAGGGCGGAGTATAGGCATTAGGGAGTGGTAGAACACAGATAGCCTTACCACACTCTACCTTGTGTCATACGTATTTATGAACATGATTTATCCCTTCTATAACACTGTACTGAGATTTGGGAGACTTTGGTTTGAATCTGCCTTAGATGTATACTACCTCTGTAACTCTGGGCAAATCATTTAATCCCTCTGGGTCTCTGTTTCCTCATCTATAAAACGAAGGCTTGGACTTGATAACCTCTCAGATCTCTTTGGGTTCTAAACCTATGGTACTGTGACACTGTTGCCTCATTGTGAAGTGGAGGTGGACCCAGCTTCTCAAAGATTTTGTCAACAGAGCACAAATGTTGGCAGATTTTACCATTCCAGAAAGTTAAGCAGTATGGTCCATGCCACAGATTGTGTCTGCTTTCCAAGGACCAGCCTAGCAAACTATCATACCAGTAAGCAACAGTGATACTATCAGAGGAACTGAGTTACATCAGTCTGATTTTTTTCTATAAACAAAACTAGAAGGCAAAAGGATAATGTAGCTAAACAGAAGGATGAAGCAAATAAAGGAGTTGGTGGAATTGATTTTATTGTCTATCCTAAGGCACCAAGAAATTTCATTTCATGGGACATTTAGTTATTTTGTATGGCATTGCTCATGATAAATGTTTTCAAGAAGGACCATCTTGAAAATAATTGTACTTTATATAACCCTTCCTTCCCTTGTTGCAAAAGATAAAGAGGTAGAGAAATTTTATGAAACACTAAATAAGACCCTTCAAAGTTACTCAGTGACTTCATAGGAAAGTGGGCATAGGGGAAGATAGCAAAAAATATTTTCTAAAGTATAGTTCAAGAGTAAAGAATGATAGATAGAATGACAGAGCATTTATTAAACATTTGCTATGTGCCGGGCACTGTAAGCCCCAAGGCTACAAAAACAAGCAAGCAAGACAGTCCCTACCTTCAAGGAGCTTACATTCTAATGGGGAAGGGGGAAAACATCCCATAAAGAGGTTCTAGGAAGTGGATGTATATCTCTGTGTGTGGTTTGGGGGGGGGGGTGATATGGAGACAGGAAGTGTCATTGAGAGCTGGCCCTTGTAAGATAAGGCTATCAGACCTGGAGGTGGAGATGAATGGCAGAAGGTTTTAAGAATACTCTTCTAAGTCTACAGCCATGTTCCTATGATTCCTTTTCCTTTTTACTCATGGTATATGTTTAGATTCTTGAAATGACTTTATGGGCTTGACTTAAATGAATTGACATGCATAATTATTTGTAATCATATGGAAAGACTTAAAGATTGTCAATCATCATTGATTAACATGTTCCCACACTTTCATAGCCTCTCCCTTCCAGTGATTCTGAACTCTCAAAATGTCATTGTAAAAACCCTGTTGCCCATTCTCCACTGTTGGCTCCCTTGTTCCCATTCCCTTCAATATAAACCACCTCCAACAAGCCACTCAAGATCTACCTCCCCCTTCCACTGTTCTTTCTGGAATGCCTGTTCCATTTATAACAAATTTACTTTCATTTTAATCCTTTTCCTTTCTCAGTCCTTCCATCTTTTTGCATTCACTGAGACTTGTCTCCATACTGATGGCCAGCATACCTGGCCACCCTTTCCTGATTGCTCTTTCATTCATATTCCCTAATTCACTGGTCGTGACAGAGGAGACAGAGTATTCTTTTCTCCCCATTGCCACTCACAGGCTTTCCTTCTGTCAGTCATTTAGTAACCTCTCTTTTGAGGTTCATTGAATCCATGTTTATCACTCAAGTGAAATTCTGGTGGCTATTATCTACCAACCTCCAAGACTCCTTTCTTCTTTAGGATTTCAATACCTTATCTTTCTAGGGCCTGATCTTAGTGACACTTCCTATCTCCATATTATCCCCCATTCCTTCCAAGAGCTACACGCAGAGATACACATCCTCTTTCTAGAAGCTCTTTACGGGCAGTTCCCCACCCCCCACCCCGTTAGAACGTAAGCTCCTTGATGGACTGTCTTGCTCCCTTGTTTTTGAAGCCTTGAAGCTTAGCACGGGGCCTGCCACATAGTCTTTCTCTTCTCCCCAACTCCTGTCTCCATACTAAAGGATTTCAGTATACATGTTGATATTCCCTCAAACACTAATTTCTTTATTCCTCAAATTAGAAATTTCCCATGACCCACTCCTTCATTTTATCTTAGCTACACATAGTCTTGCTTATAGCCTTGATTTTGCAATCATTCACAAGTGTTCCATTTCCATGTTCATAAACTCTGAAATTCCTCTATCTGATCATAATTTTTTATCATCTTTCCCTCTACCTTATGACCATTTTGTGACTTGTTCTTGTCTTCCATATGACCTCCAATCTCTCAACTCTTCATTTCTTTCCTAGGCCATCACCCTTACAGTGTCTACACTCTCTTACCTTCCACATCTTGACCCTTTGATGAACCAGTTCTACTCTACCCTCTTTTCTTGAGTGCCTTGACTCCTTATTTCATCATCAATCTTGCCTTGCCAAGGGCAGAATTATTCCTGCTGTCTTCTATCTTTACTACTTCCTTTACATGCTACTGAATGAAGCTGGAAAAAATCATGACAACATGATGACTGGGTCTACTACAAGTTTTATGTTACATAATCTCAACTGAGTAGTCACAGCAGCAAGGCAATTCTTTTACACTTCCCTAATTTGTTCATTATCCACTCACCATAAAACCCTTTCTCTCATTTTCCTCAAACTGCCAGTTTTTCTTTCTCCCATCTTGGCTGAGGATTTTGCCTCATATGTCACTGGGGACAAAAAAAAAAACAAGGCCTTTCACTGAGATACCATTTCCTTCTTCCCTCATCTCACATGTGTAAGAGACTTTCTTCCACTCTCCTCCATCACTCCTGTCTCAAATGAAGAGGCAAGATGTATACTAATGATCCCATTCCATCCATTCTTCTCCAGAAGATTGCCCCCTGTATTATCTACAGCCTCTCTCTAATCTTAAGTCTCTGCTAGTCTACTGGCTGCCTCCCTGCTGCTTACAAGTATGCACATGTCTATACATTGTCCTCAAAAAAACCCTCATTGAATGCTTCCCTTATAGCTGTCACCTTATATCTCTCTTTCTTTTCATGGCTCAGTTCCTTCAGAAGGCCATTTATGATAAATGCCTCTACTTCTCACTCTCTTTTTAATTTTTTGTAGTATGACTTCTGAACTCAGACCTCATCATTCAAATACTCTCTCCAAAATTTCCATTGATCTTTAAATTACTAAACCTAAGGCCTTTTCTCAGTTCTCATTCTAATCAACTTTTCTTCACCTTTTGACACTCTCCATCACTCTCTTATCCTTGATATAGTCTCTTTTGATCATTCTTCATTTAGGTTGCATCTGCTAACTGTAGGTATCTCCAAAGCTCTGACCTAAAACCTGACCTCTCCCCTCCCCTTCCCTTCCTTCCCCTTCTCTTCTCTCCCCTCTTCTTTCCTTTCTTCTTCTCTTCTCTCCTCTTCTTACACTATTTTGCTTAGAGATTTCATCATTTCCCATGGATTTAATTATCATCTCAAAGAAGATGATTCCCAGTTCTGTTTATCCACCCCTTACCTCTTTCCTGACTTCCAGTCTCCATCTCCAACTGTCTATTGAAATGGAAGATCTGTAGATATCTTAATCTCAGCATGTCCAGAACTGAATCTATTGTCCTTCCCCCCAAAACCTTCTCTCTTCTCTGCTTTTTTTTTTTTAACTATTACTGTTGAGGGCACCACTATCCTCCCAATTACTCAGGCTCATAATTTAGGAGTCATCCTCAACTGCTCACTGTCTCTCACCCCCTTTATCCAGTATATTACCAAGTCCTATTGTTTCCTAACATCTCTCACGAAATGCCTGGACGCTTTATATGAAGAAATCATATGAAATTGATATATTTTTAGAACCAGAAGACAAAATTAGAAAGAATCCACCAGTTCTTGGACAAAATCTCAAATGAAAACCCCCGGGGAATATCTTCCAGAATTCAGAGTTTCCATATCAGAGGGGAAAAAATATTGCAAGAAGTGATAAAGAAAAATATCAAGTACCGAAAAAGTACAGTTAGAATCATACAAGATATACAGCAACTATCATAATGGAGAAAAAAAATCTTGAAATACAATGTTATAGTAAAATACAAGGTAAAAAGATACAGACTTACAACCAAGAATAATTTGACTTCAGTGAGAAGAGAGAAAGTAGAGGCAATGGATATAAACAACCTTTTCTGGGTTTTTGACTATGAGCAGAACTATAGGACAATAGCTTACAGATATTGTTAGGGTCTAATGAAGATTTTAGAAGGATTAGGTCACTTAGACATGTTTATTTTGTATATATTTGTTTACATGTTGTCTCCTTCATGAGATTATAAGCTTCTTCAGGGCAGGAGCTGTCTTTTGCCTCTTTCTTGTATCCTCATTGCTTAGCACAGTGCCTGGAACATAGTAGGTGCTTAATAAATGTTTATTGATTGATTGGAATAGGAAGGAAAACAGTAGAGGAAGAGGTTAAAGATTTGGGAGAGGAGGCATTCTTGAAGTTGCAATCTCCTAGGCACAACAGAAGGATATTGGATCAAAGGCACATGTAGAGAGGTTGGTGCTAGTACAGACAGATTACAATTTGTTAAGCATTTAGCTTCGTTCCAAGCACTGTGCTGAGCACTGGGAATATAAATAAAGCAATAAAAAGTATCTTCCCTTAAGAAGCTTACATTCTATGGAAGCAGATAACACATTAAAGGGAGCTGAAGAATATGGGGAAGAGCAGTGGATTGAAGAAGGAAAGGGGCAAATACTGTTGGGGAGGAGGTAAAAAAGTCCAGATAGTAAGGAGTGGAGCCCGGAATGAAATATGGCCTGAACATTCCATGAAATGTAAGTCCATGCCAGGGATTTATCAATCAGAAGAGAAGACTATAGGGTAGAGACATCATCAGAGTGAGAAGGCTACTGGCTGGGAGGTGGAAAAATCCAAACAGTAAGTAGTAGAACCAGGAGCAAAGTATACAAGTAGCCAAATTTGAATATTTCTTTATAATAATTTGTTAATTTGAATCTTGTATGGGTTTTCTTATAAAATTATATGTACTGTAGAAATACACCATTAGTAGTTCTTGTTATATGGTATGCTAGGAATAAAGTTTTTAAAGTTTACTTTGCCACCAATGTGGTCCATACTAACAAAGTATTTGTGGATTTGGTAAAATTTGGTTGTGTTTTTTTGTTTGTTTGTTTTTTGTGAGGCAATCAGGATTAAGTGACTTGCCCAGGGTCACACAGCTAATAAGTGTCAGGCATCTGAGGTCAGATTTGAACTCAGGTCCTCCTGACTCCAAGGCCAGAGCTATCTGCTGTCCAGGTGCCCCCCAGATTTGGTAAATTTGATACTTAACTGGAAGGCTTCGTTAAGTCTATTATACTGTCAGGAAAGGAATTTGGGAAGAATTAAGCTCTCCTAGTGTGATAAGCATATTTCTTCATTATTTTATAATGAGAATAATTTGAATGTCTGTTTTCTTCTATTTCAGGCCTTTTTATGGTTATCATGAGAAGGAGAGACACTTTATGAAGATTTATCTTTATAATCCTGCAATGGTGAAAAGGTACAGAAATAGTGAAATTAGAAACTAGATAGTTTTAATAATAATAAAGTATTAATGCATCAAGGAACTGTTACTTTGTTCATGTGGGAACTTTTCCCACTGAATCAGATACCAATCTGATTAGAGCTTATAATCTTAGAGAGATGAAGTTCAGAAGAAGTTAAGTGAGGTGCCCATGGTCACAAAGGTAGTGTCATAGGCAGTATTTGAACCATTTTAAGCTCTTAACAACCTGGCTTTCTGCCACCTTTCCAATCTGCTCATACCTGGCTCATTCCCATGTACCATGTATTCTGCAATCCAGTCACATTGGTATCTTTGCTGTTTCAAGACCCTCTTTCTTTGAGCTCCAGGCATTTTTAGTGGCTATTTCCCATGCATAAAAGACTTTCCTTCTCATCACCACCTCCTGGCTTCCCTGGCTTCCTTTGAAACCCTACATAAAATCCCATCTGCTACGAGAAATCATTGTCAATCCCCTTTAATTCCAGTGCTTTATATTTCCCAGTTATCCTCTATGTAGCTTATTTGTGCATAGTTGTTTGCATGTTATCTCTCTTATTAGGTTGTCCTTGAGAGTAGGGGTTGTTTTACCTTTCTTTGTATTCCAAGTGCTTAGCATAGTGCCTGGCACATAGATGGTACTCAGTAAATGTTTATTGACTAACTGATGCCAAGTCCAGCACTATCCACTATGCCAAACTGTCTCATTAACATTCATAATAATAAAATACAAAAGGAAGACCATATACTTTGTCATGATTAATGAATAGCAATAGTTAATAAGTTTGCATGTCATATATACTGCTGATCTTATAACTATAAATACATAATAACCAGTCAACTAGCATTTATTAAGTTCTTACTGTGTGCCAAGAACTTTAAGTGCTTGGGATATAAAGAAAGGCAAAAAACAGTCTCTTATTCTCAAGTAGCTCAGTCTAATGAAAAACATGCAATAGTATTCAAGGACCAGTAATCCAGTGCTTGCCCACTTTGCACAGTGGAGAGAATTTGAGGTAAATAGGATTAGTCATGTTAATAAAATTATTCTCTCTTTATTGTTTGCTCCAAATACTCCTTCCATTTTCCAGTCTTAAATTTTAGAATAGGTTTTTCTAGCCTTTATGCCCGGTGTGTTTCTCAAAATAAGCCCAAAGGACCAGCCTTGAAGTTAACTTAGAATGAACAGACTCATTGCTCTTGAAAGTCATTTCTGCTCTTTAGGCTATCTACATTGCAGTCTTTTCAGTGTAGTAGATGTTCACCATTTCTGAAACTTTGAACTAGAGTTTTAGTTCTCTGGGTGATCTTTAGGTCTAAGAAGGAAGTCACAAAATCTTCTAGACTGGTATTAAGCTAGTTTATGTTTATAATAACAGTTTTGACTATATTTCCTGGCAGGAATTTATAAATTTAACTCTTTTATTCCTCATTGCTATCTAACCAGAAAAACTTTTTAAAAAAAATGTAAGTGGAAGCTATTTTCCCCTTTTAAAATGATGAGGATTTTTTATTTCTCCCTCAGAGGCAAGTGGAAATGAGGTAGGAAAAGGGGTGGGAGGGATAGGTATTCTTTTGCCCTGCCAAAGTGGTTCATGGAACAAATTTTTTTTTTAATATTTTCTTTAATACCAGTATTATATAATGTTTAATTTGTTATAAATAACTTCTGGAGTTAAGTGATTAAGTGTATCTTCTGCTTAATTTTGAGTGCTTAATTATTTTTTCTGTAAACAAAACTATTCAGATCAAATTACTTTGAGACAAGAAAGGTAATAGTCTTTTTAAGGTTGGACCATTTCCCTTTTTGTTAGCTCTGGTGTTTATACTATTTCTAAATATAAGTTTCATTATTAAGTCATTTTTAAAGGATTTTATAAATTCTTAAATTAAGGAAGGAAATACTTTTTGAGTTAGCCAAGCTAAACATATTTGTTCAGATTCTTCCTAAGCAAAATCTATTAGCTGAAAATAACAAATAACATCAGCTGAGTGTTTTTGTCATTCTTTCATGCTTTTTATATAATCTTTGCAGTGTCATACATAAAATACACATTAAATTTTGTAAAGAACTGAGTGATTGTATCCTTTCAAATATAGAGCTCCTTTCAGAAAAGGCCAGTTATTTTGTTTAATAAGATTTCACTTTTGATTAAATAAAAATAGTAAAATGTTTAAAAAAAACATTGATTGCCAGTGTGCTGTATTACATTCATTTTTCTTAATTTGCATAATTGCCCCATTGCTAAAACAAATGATGTAATTCCTTTGGATTTCTATTCAGGTATGGATTGAACAGGATGATCTCTGAGGTACCTCCCAACTCTGTTATTGTAGGATAAGAAGGAAGTGCAAAGAACACTGAATTTAGAAACAGAGCTTGGGTTTGAATCCCAGTTTTGCTCTTTATTGAACATAGGATTTTGAGCAAATCACTTAACCTTCCTCGGCTTCAGTTACCTCATCAACAAAATAAGAGAGTTGTATGAGATGATTGTTAATATTTCATCTAGGTCTGAATCTACAACTCTATGCTTCTCTGCCATAAATCAGTATTTTATTCTTCACTTCAGGATATGTGAACTTTTGCAAAGTGGAGCCATAATGAATAAATATTACCAGCCTCATGAAGCGCATATTCCCTACCTCCTCCAACTCTTCATTGACTACAATCTATACGGAATGAATTTAATTAACCTGGCTGCTGTCAGGTTCCGGAAAGTGAAAAGAAAAAGTAAGATTCATTTCCTAAATTTAAATTCTGCTTATAAAGTTTTTAAACTTTTGTGTTTGTCTGTAATAGTCTTTGCCATGGAAGCAGGACTATGGAAATAGCTTAGAAATAATAAAATGTCTGTTTGTATACTAGTTTTTCTGCTTTCAACAAGTATCATACTAAGTAGTAGGCCCCAAAGTATTCAAAATAAACAGTCACTATTGTTCTTGTCCTTAAGGGGCCTACAGTTTATTTGGGCACACAAAATATATGCTATAAAATGTAATATTTGCATAATATATGAGCAGAAAACAATACAGTACAAACTGAGTAAATGAATAAAAGAGTAATTGAAGTTAGAGGTTCTTAATCAAGGAAAGCATCGTGGAAGACATGAGTTGTTAACTGGATTTTGAAAATTCTGGGCCTGAGTTGGTAGGAAAGAGAGGCCATTCCAGGGCATTCAAGAGAACCCTTCAAAGCTCAGTTCAAATGCCACTTCCCATAAGGGAATTTTCCTAATTCCCCCATTGGATTACTCCCCCACTGAAATTTCTTTATATTTGTTTTATTTTATATGTTTTGTATTTACTTATCTTTGTGCACGTTGTTTCTTTCCAATAAAAAGTAAGATCTTTGAAGGCAAAAGGTATTTTGTTTCCATCCTTATATCCCTGGAATTTAGCAGATGCCTAAAATGTTTTTTCGGTTGAATTGAACTGAATTAAATTAAGTTGAAGACATAACAGTGCAGAATTGGTTTAGTACAAATTCACACTCTATAACTTCAACCTTGCTATTACTGCTAATTGACAATCCTTCTATTCATCTCTGTCTACTCTTGTCCTCATTCTTGGTAATAGCCATTTCTGGTCTATTCCCTTCTTCAAGTCACTAGATTCCACCTCCCCTGTTCTAACTTTTGCTAGATAATTTCAACTTCTACTTCACTAAAAATGTTAAAGTTACCCAGTATGAATTTTCTAATTCCTGTTATGCATATTATGTTCATGCATAGTTAACTTACACTCTGAAAGATCAAAGATGTTATGTCCAGTGGTCAACAGTATGTCAGTGGCATACTGATAAATGGATTATCAGTTAGTTATTTGTTGAAGTGGTGGCTCAGTGCTGCATAGTTATCACCTAAACTACATTTTCATACTCCTCTATCTGACTTTCTGAAATATACCTTTGTATATCCTATGTTATTTCTACTCTTGTTACAGTATTATGGACAAAATATATTATTGGATTAAATCTTTTTCATTAATAGAGGTTTAATAGCAGTTATATGGTATAATACTGGTCTTTGACTTCATGGTAAAGTTAAAGAATAGGATTGATGTTATGTGTATACTGACTTCCATAAGATTTTGAAATCGAAGGTTTTCTATTTTTTGTCTTATGGGATGTTTAGTTATATTTTCTTTTAAATGTAGCCAACTTGATTGTAAAGCAAATGTGTTTCTTAATGATTTTTGTGTAGTCCACAGTACCTAGCATAATGCTAAACATAAAGTATGTACTCAGTACTTATTTGTTGGTTGTTGTGAGAGATAAGTGAGAAGGAGTTAAAGTAAAAATAATATTTGGAGATGCAATGCCTGGTGGAGTTATGAGAATGTACCATTGAAAGTTGAGAAGGTAGAACCCAAAAAACAACAAACACAATGAAAACAGTAATATGAATAAAATGAACAAGAACAAAATAATAAAAATAATGCTGCAAAAATATTAATGATCAAATTTGGCTTTAAAGAAGAGATCAGAAAGCACTTTTTGCCACTTTTTTGCAGAGGTCATGGTCTATGGGTATGAAATACTGAATACGTTGTTAGACTTATAATATGATGGTTAGTTTTGTTCAACTCTTTTCTTTTTCCTCTTTTTTTTATCCTTTATTATAAAAGATTATTTTCTGACAAGAGATTCAAGGACTAATATGCTGGGAAATGTAGGTGATGTAAAAACAAAAGGTAAAAAAAAATTTTTTTTAAAAAGAAGAGATGATCTTTATGAAAAAAATTTAGTTTGGGGAATTCTACATTTTAGATATTAGTTGGATTTCTAAGTGAAGATGTCTTATAGGCAATGAAATATAAAGACTTGGAAAGATGATGGTAAGATTTGTGGGAAATGTAATTTGAGAGTAATTTACAGAGGTGATAATTGAAGGCATGAGAATGAATCAGGTTCTCAAGGAAGCAAATACGAATGCAGAAGAGCAAAAGAGGAAGAACTGATACTCAGGATACTCTAAAAGCAACAGAAGAAATGCCGTCAAAGGAGATCTCTGAGAGAATATAGTGGTCTAGAAGCTAAAGAAGATTTTCATGCTGGTTATTAATGCTAACTCTAACTCTCAAGATGGATTAGCAATGGAAAAGACCATGGATGAGAGATCATTAGTAATTTGAGAGAGCCTCTTGAATGAATGGAATCTTAAATATTAAAAGCAAATTGTAGAATTGATACAGAGTGAAGTGAACAGAACCTGGACGATAATTTATGCTACAGAAACAAACATTGTAAATAAGTCATTTGAAAGAAATAAGACTTCAACACAATGATCAGTTATGATTCCAGAAGACTTATGAGCTATGCTACCCTACCTTCTGACTCAGATATGATGTACATAGAATGATACACACATATTTTTGGACATGGGCAATATGGGAATGTTATATTTAAAAGGTTTTCATTTGTCTCTTCAGGAGGAGTTGGAGGGGAAAAAAATTTACGTTTGATAATTGGGAGGAAAAGGTGTTTTGGGTTTCTTTTTTAAGAATTCCTTTGGGCAGTGAGAGGTTTCATGATTAGGTTTACATAACCAGTATGTGTCAGAGGCTGGATTTGAACTTATCTCTCTAACCACAACACCAGATTGCTTCATCATTTTAAAATACTATTAATGAAGATTATAATTAATTATTAGACAATTAAAGAGATAGTGTGAATAATGTGAGGCATTAAATGTTGATGAATCATTGAAGAAGTTTAATCATAAATGATAGAAATGATATAGTAGGTAGAAGGAAAAATTAATATAGTCCCATAATGTTTTTCTTTTTGTTTTTTTGAGATAAAGGAAACATAGAAGTTTAAAATATATAAGGGAAGGTTCAAATAATATAGAGGTTAAAGATGTTAAAGGGGGGAAGTGAGGTTTAAGTTGCACGTACAGGAAATTGGACCCTTTGTATTGGTTTATTACCCTAAAGAAAGTGGTAAATTACTGTTATTTTGTTATTATTGTTGTTGAATTCTATCATAGTTACTTTTTGGAAATCACAAATTTTGCAGGGGAACTCAGATACAGAATGAATTGATTTTTATGATAGCCCTATACTGTCATTTTGGTTAAAAATTGTAAAATATACTCTGTGACAAACTTTTTTTTTAAACTTTTCTAATTCATAATTGAAATTTGTCCTGTGTAGAACCCTGCATGAGCAAGAAAATCGTTTCAAAATAAAATTAATGTTTTCAGGTTAAATTATGAAAATGCGCATATTCTTGTGTTTTAGATAATTAGTAGTATTTGAACATTAGAATGTGAGTTCTAGGAGGGTAGGATTGTTTCATTTTATCTTTGTATTCCCTATTGCCTACTAGAGCCTCGCACAAGGTAGGCACTTTAATAAGTGTTTGTTGGACTGAATTTAATTGAAATCCAGATATAAAATAAAATCAAAATTTGTTTTGTTACGGATTAGCTAAAGTGCATTTTAAAGAAATACTTAGACAAAATAGATTATTTAATAGAAATTGTATACTTAACGTACCTATAATGTGAATTTTCTAAAAGTTATGGTAATGTCCAAATTTAGATACTTTATAGCCCTTTTTTATACTTTTTCCTTCAATAATGTTTTTTAAGTGCCTCATATGTGTATTTTAGCCTTTTAATAAATAATTTAGTAAAATTTAATGAAACACACATAGAACATAATTAAGGAAAAGAACATCATATTTTCATACTGAGTGAAAATTAACATAGGTACTTGTAGAGCCAACAAAATGTTGTCTTTTTATTCATGAAAGATCATTATCCATAGAGTGGCAGATTTCTTAAGGGAGCCATGCTGTAGTCTTTATCAGTTAGTCAAATATTTCATCTAAAATGTCATAGTAGCAAAGAGAGTTTCCTCTTATGGATATATGATATGCAGATATTAAGAGTTGTAAGAATAGATTGTGAATTTAGTGTATACTAGCATCAATATTCTTCCTTTTGCTACTCAGTCTTTTCTGCATAGAAAGAGTTAATCTTCTGAAAGAAACCTCCTGGGAAGTAGTAAATCTTCAAAGGCAGCTTCTGAAGCATAACCTCTTATCACATTTTCTTAGACAAGAACTTGTGAGCAAACATACGTAGTCCCCTTATCTTCTGCAGGTCAAATTGCATCTGCATTCACCTGAGGTTTTCACTCACTGCTATTGCATCTGGAACGAGTTGTGTATTCTCTTTCAGTTTGGGGACTGAGTGCTAAATTGTGTTTTAAATTTGATCAGGTATCCACTTTCCGTAGGTCTCTTAGTTAAAGCCACAGACAAAAGTTTCTTGGGCAGTTTAGAGACCACAAATATGTATTTTATATATTTTTTAAAATGTGATTATATAAGTATACCTACCACATAGCACATTTATTCTCCCACACACACGTATTGTGAATCCTTTCTTTCCTTTTTGGTATAAAAACATTGTAAACTCTGTCTTTTGGCATAGATTTGTAATGCTTGAGATGATAAGGCATTGAATTCTAATTTAAAGCATTGTGCAAATAAAAAGATGCTTTTATTTCTTCTTCCTTTCTCCTCCTAGGTGATACATTGCATGGAATTGGATGTTACAAAGATCAGTTACCAGGAAATTCTCTTACTGGTACTCTGTTTCGTTGGGAAGAGGATGAAATACCAAGGTTAGCAAATATTTTAAAAGTAAAGAAGAAACTATAAATTTGTATTCTCCTAGTTGTCATGACAAACTAATGGGTACTGGATTATAGAATTCGATATAAATATTTCAGTTTATTGTTTTTCCATGTGCAAACATATTTTAAAAGTTGGACTCAACTAGTATTTGTTAAACTGAATCATAGGCTTAGATACCTACCTTGAATAAAAAACACATTTCAACTCAAGAACCCTTTTTTCCACATTATTATGTGAAAATTAGTTGGGGAAGGGAAAGTGTTCTGAAAATCTTACACTACTCCCCCTTCTGAATAATATGGTTCATTCTGGTAAATAGTCATTACCAGTATTCATTCTGTATCCATCTTCTGTAAGTTGACTGTTAAAAATCTGTTTCTAAAGTAAATGGGCAATTCATTGACTTGGTGTTTTGTTGAAATATAAACTTACCAAAAGAAGCATAATAGCATTTGTGTGATTTAAAGTTTGGAAGGTGCTTTTCACTGTTTAATAGATGAGGAAATTGAGATTCAGAGCAGTTGAGTGGCTTGCCTAGAGTCACACAGCTGATGTTTGAGCGGGGATTAAAAGTTGGGTCTTATTGGTTTCCAGGTTGTCCAAGTCCAGTTTTCTTATCCATTTTACCAACCTAGCAGCCAGAAGTGAAAATCGGTGACTTCACATGATGTTTTTTTTAAAAATTGGGTTATATATAATTTGATGTTTCTTAACTGTATAATTGATTTAGAATTTTTTTCCAGTGACTTTCAGTACCATAGACTCTGTATTCTCAGATTTCTCAAGTCCAGAACTGATAATGTGGATTTTCAGTACACAGGCCAGAGAGGGTCTATGATATGCAGCACGTAAGCTTTCCTGGCCTTTCAATGCTTATGCATTAAAGATGGGGGGAGGGGTGCAGCTAGGTCATGCAGTGGATAGAGCACTGGCCTTGGATTCAAGAGGACCTAAGTTCAAATCCGGCCTCAGACACATGACACTTAACTAGCTGTGTGACCTTGGGCAAGTCACTTAAACCCATTGCCTAGCCAAAAAAAAAAAGATGGGGGGGTTTTTCAGGTGTTTAATCTGATTCTTTTCTAAGCAGGTTGTTTTTGTTTGGTTGATTTTTTATTGGAGAATACAAAATGGGTTGAAAAAATATATTCATAAATGTAAGTTTATACTACCCTTTAGTGAGTTAAATTATCTTTCACCAAGTACAGTAAACTAAGATTCAAAGAAAGGAGGGTGTTATTCTTCATCTGAGTAAACTGAAAGCATGGTAATAAGTACTTCTTAGAATATATAAAAATGTGGCAGTTATCTTTTTTTAATATTTTATTTTTCCCCAAATATGTGTATAAACAATTTTTAACATTTGTTAAGTTTTGAGTTCCAAATTCTATCCTTCCTTCCCCTTCTCCCTCCCTGAGATGGTAAGCAATCTGATAATTTCCATATGAGTTATTTTCTGGGGGGATAAAATTGAACAAAACAAAAAAAGAAAGTGAAAAATAATATGTCTCAGTCTGTATTCAGGAACCATTAGTTCTTTCTTTGGAGGAGATAACAGTTTACATCATGAGTCCTTTGTGATTGTCTTGGATCATTATATTGCTGAGAATAGCTAAGTCATTCACAGATGTTCATGAGATGGTATTTCTGTTACTATGTGCAGTGTTCTCCTGGTTCTGCTCACTTTGCTCCATATCAGTTCATGTAAGGCTTTCCAGGTTTTTTAAAATCACCCTGCTTGTTTTATCTTATTGCATAATAATGTTCCATTATAATCATATACCACAACTTGTTTAGCTATTTTCCAATTGATGGACATTCCTTCAATTTCAATTTCCAATTCTTAGCCCTCTGTGGATACGGAAAAAATTTAGAACCAAACGGGATAGAGAGAGCATTATGAAATGTAAAATGGCAGTTATCTTTAAAAAGTATGCATTTACTTTTTTTAGATTTCTAATTGACGAAGGAGAACAATTTGAATTAATGTACTTAATGATATCTTCTTACTATAAAATTCTCCTTTAATATCTAAAAAGAAGTTAAGTAGAAAAAAATCTGATTTTACAACAGTAACAAATAATATTTGTATAGCTCTTCAGAAAACTGTAATTACATACACATAAACTTTGTGTTTTATACATATGTAAATTTCCATGTTAGAAAGACAATTACGTATACATAGATGTGATTTTCTAACCTTTAACATGCTACAAAAATGTCTGATATTATTTTTTGTGTATAATATATATATGCTCAGTATATTGTGTGTATATGTGTGTATGTGTACACTAAGTATGTATATATTACACACACATACATACACACACACTCACTCACTCATTTGATCCTTAAACCAATCTTGTAAGGTAAGTTCTATAGGTATATAGTACCTTTTTATAGAGAAGAAACAGTCTGACAGCATGTCATTTGTCTAAAGTTACACAACTAGTAAGAATTAGAGGTGGAATTTGAATTCAGATATATCTCCTCATTCCAAGTCCAAGTGTTCAAACACACTTGTCAGCCAGCTGCCCTAACGTTATATTTCAACACCTAAGAGATATGAGGTTCTCAATATCACTATTTAAAATTGATGAGTGTATTAGTTATACTTTGAAGGCTTTTGGATCTGAGCTTCTTTCTAAATTCTAGTCTTTCAGAAAATGCAGTGAACCTTAACTGAATTGGAATGAAGGTAAAACAAGGAACCCTGAATATCTTATTGAAAAAGTCTTAAACTGTATGGCATTTGTAGGGAAGACCATTTTATTCCCTTTAAGAACAATACATTCTAAGAACAGGACAGCTAGGTGGTGCAGTGAATAGAGTGCCAGGCTGGGAGTCAGGAACACCTGAGTTCAAATCCAAACTCACCAGTTACTAGCTGTGTGACAGTGGGCAAGTCACTTCACCCTGTGTGCCTCAGTTTCCTCATCTGTAAAATTAGCTAGAGAAGGAAGTAGCAAACCACTCCAGTATCTTTGCCAAGAAAACCCCAAATGGCATTATGAAGAGTTGGATGTAACTAAAAAGCAACTGAACAACAGCTGAACACGAACAGTACATGTTGTAGAAAGTGTTACATGAAACTTAATAGCTACATATATTTATGGTGTATGGTTTTCAAAATTCAGTAGGATGGCCTTTTCTGAGAAATCTCAATTAAATAAAATAATTAAAAACTATAATTTGCTGTAGAAGTCATTATAAGGTATCATAAGTACAAAATTTTCTGTTTATGTCACTTCAGTTATCAAAAATGATATATTCTGTGATTAATTATTTTCAAATTAGTTGACCCAAATTAATAAGATCTTACTGTACTTAAATAAATAACTGCACATCATTATGATCAAAAACATCTACAAAATAGGTGATGCTGTACAAAACTGCCTTTCCTGTTAATATTGTTTCTCATAGATATTAATGTTTTTGTAATATGGTTGTTAAACACCTTGAAAATTGAAAACTGTATCATCTACCCAACATGTCTATGATGTGAGTGTTATGTCCTAGTGCTAGTGTCCCTTTCCAATTTGTGCCTGAAGAACAAAGATCATTACCATCATGAAAGGACATCTTTCTATGGCTTGCTCATACCTCATTTCTGAATCCTGTCTTGCCACAATTTTTTCCAGTTTGATAACTGTGACCTCTTTCTTTCTAACCTCATTGCCTTGGTTTTTGTTCTTCTTGGACAATCTACCCACCCAGCCCTGCTTATTCCCTTTTCCCTTTCACTTCTACTACTGGCCTCTTTTAATTTTACTTATTGTCTCCTTTCAGTATATTCAGTTGTTTCCTACTGGCCAGCTTTCTTCATTGTGTTCTTTAATCTATTCCATTAGTTTTTACTATTCTCTATCTCTAAAATGACTTTTAAAAATATGTTAGGTTATAGAAACATAATCTATAAGCACTTATAGATACATGGTTTATTCTTTTTTTTAGCATAGTAGGAAAGCTGTGTCTAAATTACTCAGAAAAATAATGTGTTTAAAGGGCAACTAAAATTGAAGGGTAACAGAAATGGCTGTAAGTCTCTAATATGAGAGATTATTTTAAAAAAACGCTTTCAAAATTAGTATTTTCAGATGTTCTATCCAAAGCCTCTTCATTATTATGAGGGATCAGTAAGTAATCCTTCCACTGGTATATATCAAAATCCATTCCCACCCTCTCTCCTTTGTCATTTTTGTCCATATCTTCCCATACAATTTACATAATATACCCAATTATTGGATACCATCTCTTTTTTTCTTTTAGTATTGTAGATACCAGTGTGGTATTGGTGCTATCAGAAGGTTATTCTTCTTATTTGATATAGGCAGTGTGGGCTTGCTAAATAGGAAAGAAGTTCAAAGAAGAACAGAAACAGGTACTAAGAATAATGTACTTAATCTAAAAGTTCATTTTTGTATTTATACAAGGCCACACCATTTTAAAAGAATCCTAAGATCATAGATTTTTAGCTGAAAAGGACCTTGAATGCTATTTAGTCCAACCCTTTTATTTTATAGAGTATGAAACAATGATGTTTTAAGCACGTAAAAAAAATTTAATCTTTTTCAATATAACTTGCCTACTTGATATCTATAATTAGAAAAATAAAATATTTTATAGATATCATATAAACTTGAAAATTTTCTAGGAACTATGTTATAAATTAACAACCAATTTTTATGAGACGTATAGTTAGTATAAGAAAAGTATTTATTTAGATGTTTTTTTTAAATTGTGGTAGCGTTAATTGTATTCTAGATTTGCTCCATGATCAGATCAACAAAACAAGTGATATATGGAATAAAATTACCTACATGAAAAATAATAGCTTTTTGCTCCAGACTCAGCTGAAGAGCAAAAATGAACAAACCCTTCAGAAACAGAACGTGGGCTTACTTTTTGATCCCTCTGTCTGGAATTACTTTGTGGGGGGATAATTCTAGGAAAGCTTTTGAAGTAGGCTGTTTGTTTTTAGTATACTCCATATCTCATTTAAGTGCCTTTATGCTATTCCTCAGCTTCCTTAAGCACCCTCAATTCCCTTGACATTATATGCTCTGCCCCAGTAATTCATCTACCTAAGTTGTAAGCCATCTGTGCCTTCTTATCTTTTGTGATTCTTGTCATTGTCTTTCTGTAAATTCTCCCAAAATAATCTCTCTATTAGAGACATTATTCTTTTCCTTTTACTAGTTTGTAGATACTAGGGTGGTACTGGGGCTGTCAATCTCTTATTCCTCAGTAAAATGACCTCATATTGGGGCAGCTAGGTGGCACAGTGGATAGAGCACCGGCCCTGAATTCAGGAGAACCTGAGTTCAAATCCGGCCTCAGACACAACACACTTACTAGCTGTGTGACCCTGGGCAAGTCACTTAACCCCATTGCCTAGCCAAAAAAACCCAAAATGACCTCATATTACCACCCCATGCCTCTTAGATTGGCTAACATGACAGAAAAGGAAAATGACAAATGTTGGAGGAGATGTGGAAAATTGAGACACTAATGCACTATTGATGGAGTTGTGAACTGATTCAGCCATTCTGGAGAGCAATTTGAAACAATGTCCAAGGGGCTATAAAACGATGCCCTACCCTTTGACCCAGGAATACCACAACTAGGTCTGTATCCCAAAGAGATAAAAAGGAAAAGGACCTACATTTACAAAAAAAAAATTACATCAGCTCTTTTTGTGGTGGCGTAGAATTGGAAATGAAGTAAATGCCCATCAAGTGGGGAATAGTTTGTTAGTTGTTGTATATGATTGTGATATAATACTATTGTACTATAAGAAACGACAAGTAGAATGCTCTCAAAAAAAAACCTGGAAAGACTTACATGAACTGATGCAAAGTAAAATGAGCAGAACCAGGAGAACATTGTACATAGTAACAGCAATATTGTATAATGATCAACTGTGAATGACTTAGCTATTCTCAGTAATGTAATGATCCAAGACAATTCCAAAGGACTTATGATGAAAAATACTATCCACCTCCAGAGAAAGAACTGATGGAGTCTTAATACACATATCAGTATACTTTTTAAAACTTTATTTTTCTTGTTTGTTTCTTTGTTTTGGGAGGGGGGAGTGTCTGTGTTTTCTTTCACAGAATAGCTAAAATAGAAATATGTTTTGCATGACTGCACAAGTATAACTGATATCAAATTGTCTTCTCAATGTGGAGGGAAAAGGTGGGAAGGAGGGAATTTCAAATTCAAGATTTTTTTTAAATGTTATATTAAAATTGTTTTTACATGTAATTGGGAAAAAAAGTATTAAGTAAAAATTTCTCAATAAAAAGTAAAAATGAATAAAAATAAAATAATCTCATATTTGACAAAGACAGTCATGGCAAGAGGCACTATAAGTTCTCTTGTTTTACTTCAGCAAAGCATATACCCTTGACGTGTCTTATTTTATAAAGAGCTGCTCTCAGATGGTTGTAAATTTGAAAACAATAATAATAATTTAAAATTATTATAATGCTTTCACCACATACATTATATTATGAGCCTTACAACAAACTTTGAAGGAAGTAGGGTAGTGTATGATGATATTTTCCCAAATGAGGAAACTGAAATTTAGCTTCTTCAAGGTTACATGGCTTATAAGTGACAGCTAGGACTCAAACCCAAGTCTTCTGATTCCCTTTCCAGAATTCTTTCTACCACACCACAGAAATTCACAATACAGTATAGCCCTTTTTTGAAAGGATCTCTTCCTAAGTACCTCCCTATCTCTACCTCCCAAGTCTTCTTTCATAATTAAATTGTCAAGGGCTAGTGAGAGAGAGGGAGAGAGGTGTTAGAATGAGGGAGCTCTTTATACTAAAATCAACCCCTATCTTTCATTTATTTATTTATTTTTGAATTTTTAGGGGTTAAGTGACTTGCCCAGGGTTACACAGCTAGTAAATGTTAAGTGTTTGGTCTGAGGTCGGATTTGAACTCAGGTACTCCTGACTTCAGGGCCGGTACTCTATCCGCTGCACCACCTAGCTGCCTCTTAACCCCTGTATTTTAGCTTAGGCAATTAAGTTGCTAAGAATATCTTCAACCTTAGACTAAGACTGTTTGGGAATATATGTGTGTGTGTGTGTGTGTGTGTGTGTGTGTGTGTGTGTGTGTGTGTGTTTGTGTGTGTGTATGTGTGTGTGTAAAATACAGAGCCTACATCACTTCTTCAGTTTAAAAGCCGAGTAAGTTGCATACTGAGATTAAGTATTTTTTTTTTACAACATTCATTATTGGTCTGTGTATTATAATAGATTCAGTCTTGCCTTTGATACTTATTGCTTACATAACCTTGGGAAAGTCACTTAAACTCTCTAGACTTCAGTTTCCACATCAGTAAAATTAAGGTGTTGGATTAGATGATCCTTCAGGTCCCTCCAGCCTGAGATCTATGATCTTATGGTCATGATCCTGTAATCCAGATTTAATTTTAAGGGCTGAGAATTCTCTCCTTTAATTTTCTTCATGCCTGAAATTGATCTTTTCCCTAGAATCATTCCAATTTAATATACATATTTTTATATTTGTGATAAACTAGTTTTTCATTTTTCAGTTATTCATTGTCATTTCTTCATTTGAACCAACTTAGACAGCGATATCATAGAACACTTGATCAACACAGTTATCAGTATGGCTCCAGAGATAGTATGCATCACTCAGCCACAAGGTTTTGGCTTCAGGTGTACACAAAGATTTTGGCAGAGCCCATGGTGGCACTATATTATGTTACTAAGGAATGCAGCAGTGTTAAAGGTACCAGATTTCATATGAGCTATTAAATTGAGATCTTCTCAGCTTTTTTCTTTGATAATGATGGAGCTCCATCTCTCATGTACATTTTCAAAAAAGTCTTAAGGTATAGGCTGCTCTGATTTATTGGCTACTATTTCCTTTCTTCATCAACAGCAATAGAATCAAACATAATTACAATATGAAATTCTGCCTTCTCAAATTGATTTACTTCAAGATAGCCTTCTGAAAATGAAAGTTTGCTAATATTCTTTTCTTATGACAGTGGTTGAATAAGTGTTTGTGAAATATTTGTATGTTGCCATCATTTACACTTCCAAGTGACTGTATACCCTAGTCTTTCTTTATCCTCAAGATGCTTACTATATGAAAATGCCAAGTTTGTAGATAATACTTTTCCTATTTGTGTCAGTGTATGAAGAGTCTAGATTTATGAGGGCCTAATGTCTGTTCATCCAGCCCAATAACAACTTTGATAACTTCCTGATGTCTTTGACTACTGAAGAGAATACTCTTGTGTGAAGTGGTATGGTGTAATTTTCATAAGTCTAAAATGTTTTCATTTTGTTGCTTTTCATGATTTCTGACTGCTTTGTGAAGCATTCGGTATGATTTTTCCATGTTGTAGTTTATTCACATTTTTTAAACAAACGTTAGCTCGTTGAGTAATGGTTGTGGGAAAGGAAGAAGGTTAGCATTACTTGCCATTCTTTTCTTTCTTTGCTTTCCCCTCAATATCACTACTCTGGTTAGTTTTGCTCCCATATTTGATGTTCTCACTTTTATTTCTTTTTAGAAATCTTCTTATATCTCTTACCAAGTATTGTAGGTGAAATATGCCCATACTGCGTGGCTCCATATATCTGGAATAAGTGACTTCTAGAGCTGCCCTGTTACTCTTTTCTGTCCTAGGTGGAATATTCTTGCTTAAAAAATTTTTATTTAATTTTATATTCATCTATATATAAACTATTCAACTGAGCTGTATATTGTGTATATTGTGCATTTTAAATAATAATCTTAGATATTAATATTTACTAATATTTTTCTCTCCCAGTTTATTTCATTTAAAAATGCACAAACCATATACCAGCTCTATAATTACTTGTGAACTTAACTAATATAGTATGAATATTATATGAATCAAAATGAGTAATAATGTTTTGTGCATATAAAAATTCTGTTGTAATTTCATTTCATTACAGTTTTTTAATTCTGGAAGGTGTTGAACCACAAAGTACCTGTGAATTAGAAGTGGATGCTGTAGCTGCTGATATTTTAAATCGGCTGGAGATTGAAGGTATATGTGTATACGTTTTTATTTTATGCCTTTTCTAAAACACCAAAACTTATGTTCTAATATCTCAAAAAAACCTGAAGAATCCATAATTTAATTGGTGTGGAGACTCCTTCTACTAGTATAGATTGAAACTACTCTAATACCATTGAAAACCTTCTTTATTAAGTTATAGTCAAAAATAATAATCACCTTGTAGCTGGCCTTCTGAGGATGATTGTCTCTGAAGTTAGGCTGATTCTTAGATAACATGATATAGCCACAAGGCCCATGCTTGAAACATTTCCCTCTTGGTGTAGAAGCTTTTTTTCCCCACTAGTACAGTCTGCAAGGAACAATTCAGTCAAGTAGCAAATGCACTGTACTAGGTTATGGAAATATGCAGATCATAAAAAGGAACAGCCCTTGCTGTCAAGAAGCATACATTCTGTCAGGGGAGGCAACATGCACATACAAGAATATTCCAAAGACAGACACATACACACACACACACGCGTGCGCGCGTGCGTGTGTGTATGTATAAAAATACATAAATAAAAGAATTCTAAGACACCAAGGTGAAGAGAGAGTACGTTGTCGGCATGGAGCACAGATTCAGCGAAGGTGCAGAAAGAGGAGATGGAGTGTCATAGATAAGAAAGAGTGAGCAAGCCTATATGTCTGTACCATAGAGAATGTGAAGCAGGACAGTATGTAATCAGGTTGGACTTGGTTAGAGTCAGGTTGTGAAGGGCATTAAATACAAAACAGAGGAGAACCCAGGGTTAACTCCATACCATAATGACGCATTGAAAGAAGACATGAGTTTCATGGCCGAATTAAGAAAGTTTGTTGGAAATTAGGTAGTTTCAGTAATTAATTTTGATCCAGTAAAGAGCACTGGAAAAATTCATTATTAGAAAATACTTGAGAAAACTGTTATTCCTATTATTCCTGTATATCTGGTAGCTGTTCATTCAGTGGTTATTGAACACATAGCTATATTACATTTGCCATAGGCTGAAAATCAGTATGACTACAGAAAATCAGGTAGTGGATCTAGAGGAAGTTTAATGCACTTTATTTTACTTTTCCTTTTTATTCCTTTGTTCAGTTTTCATATAAGTCTGTGGAGGATTCCTAAGTATTTTTGTCCAGTTAAATATTTGAGTTTTCTTAGGCTATGATTTGGGGAGCAGGACAAGAAGCAAGAATAATCAAGCATACAAAGGAGAAACATTGTCAAATAGAGAATGGGCTAAGGACATCTCTTAGGCTTGTCTCTGGAAACTATTTGCAAGCTTCTTATAGTACGTAAAGTAATTCAAGGTTAAGTTATTGGGCAGAGGAAAGAGCAATAAAATGTCCATTATTAAATAAAAGTTTTTTCACTACTTTACTTTGAAATATGTGTTTTAACTTGTAGCTCATATTGATGGGAACCCTGGTTTGCAAGCCATATGGGAAGATGAAAAGCAACGCCGGAGAAACAGAAATGAATCCTCTCAAATTAGCCAACCTGAATCACAAGGTATAAACTGACAGCACACTGATACTTGTTTTTTATTAAATGTTTAAAAAAAACTTAACATTGTATATAGTCTAAATTATTAACTCCCCATACAACTTGTCAGAAGCAATATGGCATAATGGAAAGAACATGAGACTTGGAGTTAGAAAACCTGGATCCAAATACCACCTTAGATAGTTACTAGTTGTGTGGTCGTGGGCAAGTCACTTAGCCTCTCATAGCCTCACTCTCCTTTCAGTAAAATGAAGCTAGTAATATTTGTACAGTCTTATCTCATGGAGCAGTTGTGCTTAATGCACTGTGCAAACCTTTAAATTCTATATTTGTAAATTGTTTTTATTCTTATCATAATGAATTTCACAAATCTCCTTTCAGTTTTCGTGTAAATTTTCCCATCTGTTGATATCCCATTGTCAGTATTTCTTCACTTTTACAGAAGCTGGATCTTACTGTTTTCCCATTTGTGCTTGTTAGTGATTAATGTTCCTACTTCTGTAGTCTCAATTTTTACTTTCCTGTGCTTTGTCATCTTATCCCACTATAATCCAAGCTGTTTCCTTATTTACTAATTATCTTCTGATCCTCTTGTCTCCCCAGATGGAGACTGTGAAACACACTTTTGGAAACACTGGTTATAATTCACTAAGCTATGGAAGGCTAGACCATTAAGTATTGCCCCCAAATTGATTTATTGGTATTTTGGGTACTTTTTCATTCAGGTTATTTCTTGTAGCTCTCAGAAAATTTTGAAGTTAAAGAATATGCTGAAGTTAATTTTAATATTTAACACATTAAAATTATTTTTATTGTATTTGAGTTCCTTTTGTATAAATTTTAAAATAATAATGTTGTTTATCAAGGAAGTAAGCAAACTAGAATCCCCCATTGCATTCAGGAACATAATACATTGATAGGTTAAGGGAAATGTTCTTTTTCTACTCTAAATGCAGGTTATAATTATGGAATTTAATCTTGAACTGACTTCAAGTGCCCAACATCATAACATGGGTAACCATTTTAATTTTGTTTGACATTATAAGAGAACAGCTTTTAGATAAAGGTGTTTCACAAAAGTTGGTAAGTTACTATCACTTTTAAAAGTTCCTTGAGGAAATAAGCTTAGTGTTGCTTCAAAATATTTTATTCGTTTACTATTTGCCTAAAAAGGTCCTCTTCCTTTTTTGAATGCACTTTTTAAATTTAAAGATCGTGGATGCATTCCAGCAACAGAGAGTGAAAAAATGTTTCAGAAGAGACTTCAGGAAGTTCTTAAGCAGAATGATTTCTCTGTGTAAGTAGTCATTTAATACAGTTCATCGAACTGACCTTTTTCCCTTGGTAATCTAGTTAGTTTTAAAGGATGTGTTTTAATTAAGCAGAACATTATCAGGATCTGTGGACTATAGTAATGGATCCCAGGAGTTCTCTGCTGAGTTAACTTTACATTCTGAAGTTCTGTCTACTGAAGCTGTTCCTTGTTCACCAGCCAACATGGTAGAAGTCCATCAAGAGAAAGAGCTGAACAAAGGTAAGCTTTTTAGTAACATCACTTTGGATTATACAGTCTTCATTAGAGTAGTCATGCGATCTGTTTTGTTTAATTATTTGTTTTTAAATGTTGAAAGACATTTGTTAATGTTGTTTATTTTAACTTTAGAAATTAAGTTTCAGACTGATAGGGTGTCTGGAGAGAGTAAGAAGTATGTATGTTTCTAAGTAGCCCATATATGGCCATTATTAATCCTATTTGTCATTTAATACTTGCCATCAACAGTCTCTTTCTCCTCTTATTGTGTACTGTATTCACCTCTTTGCCACAATATAAAATGGAATGAATTTTTTGTCCTATATCTTCCTGAGCCTTAATGTACTGATTATACCATTAGGCTGTCATTAAAATGGTATGAGAGTGTTAAGTTATAGAGCACTTTAAAATCTTGAATTGAAAACCTCTAGAGCTTAAGGACTTTTGTGAGACTATGTGTTATATTATCAGACATCATAAATGAAAATTTACCTTCAAAGTAGGAATGATTGACCTCAATTGTAACTTTGTGCAGATTGCAGAATTTTAAGGTTTTATTGGATAAAATCTGTTTAAATATTCACCAGATGATTTTTTACAATTCTGAAAGTTTAAATTTCAGAGGATGCCATAATTAAATGCTGGCCTTGTTTTTATCTTAAGCATGCTTAAGAAAGAATATTCTTAAAGAAGAAGAAGCACTTATTAATGAAGAAGCAATTTTGAACCTCATGGAAACAAGTCAGACTTTCCAGCCTCTGTCTCAAAGACTGAGTCAGTCTCCAATTTTCAGTAAGTACTTTAATACCTCAATAAGCATTCCATATTCCAATTTTTAGGTTTATGTGAACAGTGTGTTTGATGAATTAATTGTTTTGTGTTTAGACAAAGTTAGCCTAAAGACGCTTGCATAGTACAGTTGAAAGAGCACTACACTAAATATTGGTAGTCAGGAATCAGCCTATTGTTCTTGCATTGGTATTTTGGGCTTAACTTGCTAAGACTCACTTTCCTTTTTTTAAAAAAATTTTTTTTTATTCAATTTCCTCATTTTTAAAGTAAGGCTAGTGATACCTACCTTGCCTATTTCACAGATTTGGTATTAGCTTCAAATAATTTGCTGTTTGTAAAGGGCTTTGAAATCTGTGAAATACTATGTGCATGTAAAATAGTGGTATGTGAAAGTTACTGTAGTATAGCTGAGAATGCTTTTAGTTTACCATTTAAGACCTGAGATTGAATCCCTTACCATTTATCAGCATTGTGATGTGAGCCAAAGTTGTGTAATTTGGATCCTCAGTTCCTTAAATAATATTGTCAGCATCTAAAGAGGTCTTGATAAGTTAGATCACTGGACTAGATCAAATAAGATGAAATTTACTAAGAATAAATATAAAGTCTTACACACGGGTTCAAAAAATATGTATCACAAGTACAAGATTGTAGACAAGAGATGATTAGATAACAGTTTATCTGAAAAAAGATGAGGCTATTAGTAGACTGCAAGCTTAATCAGTAGGAGTCAACAAAATCCTGTGGCAGCCAAGAAATCCATTGTGATTTTACACAGCATTAGGAGAGTAATAGCTCCTGGCAGCTAGATGGCTCAGTAGATAGAGCACTGGACTCGGAGTCAGGAAGACCTGAATTCAAATTTGGCGTCAGACATTTACTAGCTGTGTGACTCTAGGTAAGTCACTTAATCTCTGTTTGCCTTAATCCACTGGAAAAGGAAACAGCAAACCACTCCAGTATCTTTGCCAGGAAAACCCCATGGAGAGTATTGGAGTGCTATGATCCATGGGGTCACAAAGAGTCAGACATAAGTGAACAACATAAACAGTGAGGCCTGGCAATAATCTAGGTCCCCCTAGCTTTTCAAGATTTTCCTTTTAAAGTTACCTTCCATCTACATTGTATATATTTTGTATATACTGATTTATTCCTATTATTAAGTAAATAGAGAGAGAAAGAAAAGGAATGAGCATTTATTAAGCATTACTATGTGCCAGGCACTTTGCTAAGTACTTTACAAATATTATCTCTTTTGATCCTCACAACTCCAAGGGGTAAGTATATAATTATTCCCTTTTTACAGATGGGGAAACTGAGGCATAAAGCAGTTAAATGACTTGTTCAGGATCACACAACTAATAAGTGTCTCAAACTGGATTTTAACTCAGATCTTCCTGACTCCAGGCCTAGCACTCTATCCACTGCAGCATATAGCTGCCACTAGTACCTTAAAAGGAACTGTTTTTGACTTTCTTTGTAATACCCAGTGATTAGCAAAATGCCTGACACCAAAGAACCTCTTAGTGAGTATTTAATTGATTGATTGTCCTACTCTACTCTGCCCTGTTAGATCACACTGGAGCATTGTGTTGAATTCTGGGCACCATATTTTTGCAAGTACACTTATAAGCTGGAGAAGATCCAGAAGTGGGCAGCCAGAATGGTAAAATGCCTCAAGTTCAGTTAAACTTATGTTGTTTGGCACCAAAGGACAGAACTAGGAGCAAAGGATGCAAGTTGTAAAGGGGCAAATTTATGCTAAACGTAAGGAAAACTTCCTAATAATAAGAGCCTCCAAAATTAAAATGGACTGCCTTGGGAGTCAGTGGGCTACCTCTCAGGTGATCGCTTGCTGTATATGTTTTGGTAGGGATATTTTTTCAATAAGAGTTGAACTAGCCGCTGATTAGGGACCCTTGCAACTCTGAAATTCTGTGATTCTCTGTCTGTAAAATGAGGATAATGATTCCTCCCCTTCCTGTCTTACATAGTTATTATAGAGACTGAACAAGATCATTTATGTGAAAATATATTGTAAAGCACTATCAAATGTGTATTTATTCAATTAGGTATATTCTAAGCTATCTGATAATGCATTGGTATGCCATCTCTGTCTCTTTGGCAAGTAAATCAAATGTCCACTGACTAAGACACCTTCTGAGCTCTTTAGTCTTCTTGTGACAACTTTGTAAAAGTATTCTAATCAGTATTGATACTGTAGTAAGAATAATAGTAGTTACTGCATTTATAACCAGAATAACATCTTCCATTTAGATGCAGTTTCCTTATTTCTTCTGGCTTTGTTTATAGTGGGAATGCCAGTAATTACATGATTCAGCAGCTCTAGCAATATGTCTCCTCTTTTCTCTTTGGACAAGATCTCTCATTTAAAGTAGCAATCAGTCAACAAGTATTTAGTAAACACCTGCTGTGTGCCAGTAACTGTACTAGATGTTGGGAATAAAAAGACAAATGAAACAGTCCTCTCCCTCAAAGAGATTATATTCTTTTGGGGGAAGCAACATGTATACATATAAGCATTTACAGAGTAAATATAAGGTATAATTGAGGAGAGCAGGAAGAAAGGCAGTAGTAGTTGGCGGAAGGGATCAGGAAAACCCTCATATGTGAGGTAGGAAGAGGTAAGTATTAAATACCTACTACATGCCAAGCACTTTGCTAAGTGCTTTACAAATATTGTATCATTTGAGGGATAGTATTTGAGCTGAGATTTGAAAGAGGCCGAAAATTCTAAGATCAGTTGATTGGGGTAGAAGCCTTCAAGTAATTAACTTGAAATTCTAAACATTTAATTGCTTCACCTTACTCTTATCTACCAAACTGAACTCTTTACGCTAGGAGTATGAAATTTAAAACTGCTTCAGAGCAAAATGGTCACCTGCCACTGCCAGCGCACTAAGCAGTATTTCCTGGATAAATGGCTGTGTGTTTTGAAAACCATTGGTCTTCTCCTTTTAACCTCTTTCAACTTCATTCATGGCTCCCCCACATTTTTCAAAGATAAACCTTTTTTGCATGTTTTTTGTAGTTCTAAGTTTGGTGAAGTTTCAAAATGTAGAACTGTATGGAAAATAAAAACTTTACGCTATTAGTAGAAACTTCTGTTATTGTTAAATATTATGTATTTGGCAGATTTAAAAGCAGTAAAGGTAGAAAATTCTTTTTTCTTTTAGTCTTTGCTTTATAATTTACATTTAATGATATACTTGAACACCTACTAAGATGCCTGTGTATCATTGTATGAGTAGCGGAAGCCCTTGAAGAGGCCACAAAGCTATCTAGTCTTTCACTCCCTTTTATCACTCAGGCAGAAGATTATTTTTCTCTGAAGTTAGTTAAACTGTTATAGGAAACATAAACTTACTGATTACTCCTGTTTGAAAGGACTTCAAAAGTTAGCTAATTCAGCCTCCTTTGCAATACAGAAATCTATCCCTTCTATACTATACCTGACATATGGTTATCCAGAATCTACTTAAATACTTAGAGCAACTGAAGATTGTTGGAAAGCTGTTACTGAAATCTGCTCCTTGTAGTTTCTACCCATTGATCCTATTTCTTTTCATCAGAAGAAATAAGATTTGTAATGAAAGCAGTATAACCAATGCATTACATATGAAGTATTGCATCCAGTCAGCGCCAGATATGTAATGTTTTTATTTTCTCTACGTAGTTACTTAGTTCTGTTGTGCTCCTTATTTCGCTGGGGAACTTTTGAGTCTTAAGGGAAAAGATTCTATAATGAACTTTTGGGCATTTTCTAATTTTTATGATGCGGTAGTTCTCTTTTATGAGTTTTTTATTACACTTGAGTCCTAACTTTTTAATGAGGTTGTAAGTTGGAATAAATATTTTAGGTGCTGAGAGAAATGATTATTTTTCTATTATATTAATAACCAATTATTATATTAGGATAGAGGTTTTTTTCTTTTATTTCCTCATTCGGAGAATAGCCCCTGTAGGCCAGTCAGTCAGTCAGTCTCTGAAGGATATTGCTGTTAGATGAGATTGCTCAAATCCTCAGGGTACATGTTCTGTGATTTTGGCCAGGACTCCACCCACCTAGACCTAACGAACAGAATGTAATCTAGGTGAATTCTTGCCCTTAGGAAATGAGCCTCTGTCCTTGGAACACTTCATTAGAATTTAGGGTGACATAGCTTATAAAGGAGAAAACCGACCAGACTGGTCTGGGTAGAGATGGATTCCTTTGTCCAGATTGCTGGAGGCAGCTGAGTCTCATGATCTAGTCCCGTTCTTAGTAGGAGGAGCTGAAGAGTTTTGGCCCACCTCCTCATCAATATACCCATCCCTTCATTAATTGTTCCCCAATCAGGGTTGATTTTTATCTGTCAAGGGCACCTCTTTTTCCAAAGATACCTTTTCCCAAAGGTATGGAAGCATTCATTTATCTCCATGATTTTGTCTTTGGTTATCAAGAGAAACCACTGACCATCAATTTATTGATTATTTGCTAGCCTAATTAATAAATTGATTATTAATTACCCAGAAACCCCCTCAGGCTTTTCATTCATCTCAGTGCTGAGGTATGGAGTATGAAATTTATACCTAGGAGTATGAAATTTAAAACTGCTTCAGAGCAAAATGGTCACCTGCCACTGCCAGCGCACTAAGCAGTATTTCCTGGATAAATGGCTGTGTGTTTTGAAAACCATTGGTCTTCTCCTTTTAACCTCTTTCAACTTCATTCATGGCTCCCCCACATTTTTCAAAGATAAACTTTTTTTGCATGTTTTTTGTAGTTCTAAGTTTGGTGAAGTTTCAAAATGTAGAACTGTATGGAAAATAAAAACTACTGTAATACAGATTCACTTATTTTTTATTTTATAGTGGGCAACGGTCCTGATGAGTCTTTGGTGCATCTTCTGGCTGGTTTAGAGAGTGATGGATATCAAGGGAAAAGACATGGCATTTCATCTTCACATCCTTCCTTTGGAAGCTCTAGAAATCCCCTGAACAGTGATGATGAAGAAAATGAACCACAAATAGAAAAAGAAGAAATGGAGCTTAGTTTGCTGATGTCCCAAAGGTGGGACAGCAATATTGAAGAGCATAGTGCCGAAAAAAGGTAATTTGTTTTCTCGTTATTTCAGTCACGTTATGTAATAACTTTCTGTTTTCTCAAAATTATTTTCTTTGACTACAAATTGTTTCTTCCATTGACTCTAATGTGCCCTCTCTTTCTTCAGACCTCTTTCTGAACAATTTTCCTCCTCATATGACCTTCATTCTTCATGATGTCAGGCATATGCTGTTGGTCTAGTATATATACTCGTAGTACATGTATCTCATTCATCTACCTTTCAGATTATTGTTAAGGGTGCAGTGAGGTAACATGTGAAGTGTTTTGCAAATTGTAATTGCCATATAAATTTAGTTATTATCATTCTTTCTTTGCATAGAAATATGAAGACAGCAGAGACTGTTCTGTTGACAGTAATGCCCAAACCACTGTTTTAAAACTGAAACTATTAGTCTAGCAGTTCTTGGCTATATCATATAATCAGTTTATCTAATAGATTGGTTGTTCTTAGTGTTCTTTTTGGTTTCTGCCAAGCAGTAGGTTTTATAGTCTACTTTCTCTTACATGTTCTCAGTTTGCTTTTTCTTCCTCTTGCATGATTTTTTCTGCCTTTTTTACTTTTTTTTTCTTTCTCAGCTCCCAGTCCCCCAGCGTGAACCTGATTTTCTCCTATACTTTGGCATTTTCCTAACCTTTATCATACAAATCTGATTGTGCCTCTCTCATTATACCTGTCACTCTGAGGTATTGGGAAGAAAATGGAATGCGTTTTAAAAAAAAGTGCATCATTTGCAAATATGTACAGAAATTGTGTTACTTAAGAGCTCATGGGTTTGATGGACGTTGAGTAAATCATTGGGGTTTATCTGCTTTCAAAAAAAGATTAGGATGAGGCAGGAATCTTTATAAATTCATAGGCAGATTTTAAATTTATTAAAAACAAATCTTATAAACCTAGTAGTATTGCTTTTTAGTTTTAGTGAGTCAGGAAGTTTTCGAAAAAGGGCGTTGTGATACTCAATAGGAGGTTGTCAGATTTATCAGGAAATCAGAGACTAATTCTTTCTAAAGTAGGTAAAATTATATCTTCAAAGGTCAGGGAACTAAGTCTCTGAGCAATATAACACAATGCCAATCAAGTGAAAATAAAGCCAGGGATAAAATTAGAAAACAGTATTTTATGTATTTGGGGTCTCCTGCTCGAATAGAGTAAATGAAGAAGATAATGTTGAGCTGGCATCAAAACCATAAAACTCTCCAGAAGAACTAGATATGTTGTGATGGACACTGTCATTAAGGAACCAATTAGGCACCCCCCAAAAAAATTATTTTTGTGTTTATTTTTTTCTGCATATTCATATTATTAGGGAGTTGGGGTGAAACTTGGTTGATTTTTCAGAACATTCCTATTTCCCTTGCATATATTTAATGTTTGCCTGTCACAGTATTTGATCATTTGCCTATAAACAGACTGTCAGTTTTCAAAGTCCAACCCACTGGAAGTCTATGAAGTCACAAGGCATGCCATTCCATTTTCAGGCAACTTGTAATTGTTAAGAAGGCCATGGATAATGTCTATCCCTGTGATTTCATGGGCATAGGAAGCTCCTAATGAGGAATTTCCACTACCAATGTAAGTTAGCATTTTCCCAGTGATTTATATTCTTCAAGAGTTGCCTAGAGCCCAGTGACATATAGCCAGTATTTGTCAGAGGCAGGAATTGAACCCAGGCTGTACCAGCCCCAAAGCTAGCTCTTTGTCTTCATGCTGCTTCTGTCACCATGCTACTTCTCACCTGTTAAGAAGTTCTTCCTTATTAAGCCAAGGTCTCTTTTGCATAAATTCCATCTTAAGGAGTATGTGAGCTGTGTACATCAGTTAACTCTTCCTTTGTCCCCATTACAAGGCATATATCTCTCTGATTACATCCTTTACACCACTTCTCTTGTTCAGTTCTAAATTGGTAACAATTCTAAATTGGTAACTTGTTACAGTCTGTGTACACCCAACATGTGACTTTCAGTTACCCCTTGGGTGACTCTCAATTTTAATTCTTCAGAGACTATGGTGTTACATGACTCACAGTCATACTGCATCACCTAGTTCTGCCCATTTTAGCTATATGAAATAATTTGATCCCCAAAAAAAGTCATTCCCCTCCAAAATCTTCTTTTTGCCATGCTAACTATCCCTAGTTTTGTTTTGCTTTTTCAGCTATTCCTTATATGGTTTCTAGAACAGTTCTGATCACTTTTTCTTACATGTAATCCAGACTGCCAATGCCCCACCAAAAATGAGGTAACCAAAAGTTAACTCTCTGAGCTAAATACACTATTCCATATGTGGTAAGACCAGTGCAAAGTATAATGGAACTACTACTTCCTTTGTTTTGAACATTATACTGTTAGTACAGCGTGAGACTGTGTTAGCTTTTGTGACAGCCATATTAAACTGCTGGCTGTTTTGAGATTTTCACAGCCAACTAAAGCCCTAGAGATGATAACTAAATTGATTGGGAGATTTAAATAGATGATTTTTTTCATTACATTATAGATATATAAAGGGATTCGAAGAGCCAGAGGTAAGGAGAGTGTACATTCCAGGCATGGGGCCAATGCAAAGGCATGAAGAAAGAAAATGGAGCAGTCTTTATGAGGAACAGTAAGAAGGCTAATCTGGTTGAACCATAGTATTTGTGAAGTGGTATAATGTTTAAGGAGCCTGGAAAGCTAGGACAGAGCCAGGTTGTGAACAGCTTTAAAAACTACCAAACAGGAATTTATATTTAATCCTAGAAATAATGCTGGAGTTGATTGAGTAGGGAAGTCACATGTCAGATCTGTACTTCAGGAAAATCACTCTGGTGTCCTCCTATGTAGAAGCTAGATTAGTGAGGAGAGATTTGAGTCAGGAAGACTAATTAGGAGGCTATGGCAGTAGGCCAAGCAAAAGGTGATAGGGGCCTGAACCAGGATGGTAACTGTGTCAGGAGATAGATTTGAGAGTTAACATGGAGATAAAGGCGAGAATTGGCAGATGTCTGGAAATGTAGGATAAGAGAGAATGAAGTATCAGTGATGGCCCTGAGGTTGCATATATGGGCACCTGAAAGAATATAGATGCCCTTGAAAGAAATAGGGAAGTTTGGGAGAGGAGTGAATTTTGGAAGAACGATAGTATATTCTTTTGGGGGCCTACTTAGTTCGAAATGCCTATGTAACATACAGTTTGAAATGTCAAGTAGACAACTGGTGATATGAGACTGGCTCTCAGGAGAGAGACTAGGGTTGGATATATCAATCTGGGAGTTAGTAGCATAGAAATGATAATTAAACTCTCATGAAAGCATGAGGTCACAACAGCATATAGTCAGAATTAGCATAGAGAAAGAAAAGAAGGCCTACCCTAAAGCTCTGAGGTACGCTCACAGTTAGGGAGTGTGCTATGGATGATGAGACAGCAGAGAAGACTGAGAAGGAACAGTAAGAGAAGTAGAAAACCCACCAGAGAGCAATGTCATTGAAACATAGAGAGGAAGCATTTTTAACAGTGTCAGATGCTACAGAGATTTCCAAAAGAATGAGGATTGAGAAAAGACATATTTGACAATTAAGAGGTCATTGATAATTTTAGAGAGAGTAATTTCAATTGACTAATGAGCATCTGTTATCTATACAGAATTGCAAAAAGTGTGGCTAGTAATTGCAAGATAAAATAGAGATCTTAAAACAGGAGGAAAATTTGACCTTGTAGGTATCACTGATATTTGAGATGACTCCATGACTAGATTATGGACCTGGAAAAAGATACCTTAGTCAAAAGAAACAAGACAGGTAAAAATAATGATAAAGGGGTAGAAGAGAACATTGTATGATTTTTAAAAAGATACACGTATTCATTTGAGAAAATCATAGAACTAAAGGAAGGAAGCATGATGGAGAGATTTGGGTAATGACCAATGGAATTAGAAATAGAAACAGTGTTGTCAGTGGAGGATATACTGCAGACCACCTGGACAGAACATGGAAGAGGAATTTCAGAAAAAGATCCTAATCTTCACTTGGAGTCATAGCATAGTACTAATGGAAGACTTTAGTTTTCCAAACATCTATTGAAATGCTGTCTTTCTGCCAGAAGTAGATCACTATCAATTTTTTGCCTCAATAATTTCATCCTACAAAAGGTAGAAGAACCAATAAGGCGAAATTTTATTCTACCAACAGAGGAGAAATGATAGGAACTTTGTGGAGAAAGTGATTACTATCACTTAGGGATGGTCATTAAGGAAAGGAAAGCCAAGAGTAGTCTGACATGCACCATAAATTTGGGGAGTGGGTTTCAAAGTGTTCAGAGGAAGGATCCCAAGGACTAAAATTTCATAGAAGACGTTGCTTGAAAAGGGACAGGAACCTCTTAAGAATGAAGTTATGAAGATAGAAAAGGTAACAACTGCAGTGAGAAGGAAGACATGTAGTTGAATGAGGGAAGAGAACAGTAAAGAGGAAGATCAAAGGCATGATAGTTACTACTGTTGGGAATGACAGCTGAGAAGACATGCCTGCTTAATTATTTGTTTTGCTTCACTTTTTTTCTGCTAAGGAAAATAATCTTTGGACTGGAAAGGACAGCACAAATAGGGCTAGGGCTAATAAGTACTTAATAGCCAAAATCAGAAGATAATAAAAAGACCATCTGGTTATCTTGAAGAGTTCAAATCATCACTCAGCCCAAATAAACTACATTTTTGGGTATCAAAAGAAAGTGGTGGATGTGTTTGTACTTAGTGTTCGTGAACTGGCATAATGTTTAATGAGCCAGGAAGGCTAGGACAGATCCAGGTTGTGAAGAGCTTTAAAAGGTACCAAATGGGAATTTATATTTAATCCTAGAAATAATGTGGCACCACTGCCATTAATTAAGTAGGGAAGTCGCGTGGTCAGATCATTGCTTTAGGAAAATCACTTCGGTGTCCTCCTATGTAGAAGCTAGATTAGTGGGGAGAGATTTGAGTGATTAAGAACAGAAGTACAACAGAATGGAGAAGAACAAATAGCCTGATTTTCCAACAAAGGGGAAGAATGGAGCCAACCATTGAGCCTGTCTTTGATTCATGGCAAAGCTTTCTACTGGCTATTAAAGAGATTGGTAATGAATCTATAGTAAAAGGAAGTGATGATCACGAAGAGCCAACATAGCTTCAGCAAGAACAGGTTGAGCTAAACTAACCTCGTTTTCTTCTTTGACAGGATTACTAAACTAGTAAACGAGGGGAATATTATGGATATGGTTTACCCAGATCTTTATGAATTATTTCTTAAAAGTCTTTCATATTATTCTTATGGAAAAGGTGGAAGAATTTGTGATTATATTTTAGTATTATTCGGTGGATTCAAAATTGTTTGAATGTTTCCAAAGACTTTTCATTAATCATTGATTGTCAAATTAGAAGGCGGTGTTCATCAATAAAATCTGTAATCGATAAATGTAGAGAATTGACATAAAAATATAAAATCAAGAGCCATTCACCAATAGATAAGAGGTCAGAACATACAAAGTTTTAAAAGTAAGACTAGCCCACTGTAAATGATCCATCACTAATAATAAGCAAATTACAAATTGAATCAGCTCTGTGGTTTCACTTCTCATTTGCCATTGCAAATTGGCAAAGATGACAAAAGATGTAATCATTCAATGCTAGAGGAGCTATGGGAAGATAACTATACTAATATACTGTTTTGTCACACTGTTGAAATGGTACAGCTGTTCTATTTAGTTTGGAATTATCCAAGAGAAGTTGCTTAACTGTCCATCCATACCCTTTAACTCAGCAGTCCCTGTATTGGTTATATACCCCAAGGAAGTCAGAGTCAGAAATAAAGGTCCAATATGTACCAGAATATTCCTAGTGGTACTCTTTGTGGTAGCAAAGAGCCATGCACAAATAGGTCCCTATCCATTGGGTAATGACTGAAAAACTGTGGTATATGAATGTAATAGTACTTGAATACTATTGTACAATAAGAAATGATAATATGAGGAATTCAGAGAAACCTGGGAAGATTTTTATGAACTGATATAAAGCAAAATAAATAGAAAGAAGAGGAGTGTGTGTGTGTGTGTGTGTGTGTGTGTGTGTGTGTGGGAACACGGAATCTCTTGGCAGAGGACAAAGGTTCAAATCCCATCTGTATTATTTACCAGGTATGTGACCTTGGGAAAGTCCCTTAGCTTCCTTAGGCCTTACTTTCTTTATCTTCCAGATGAGGGTGTTGAACTAGATGCCCTCTCAATTTCCTTCCAGCTCTAGGCTTGTATTCCTATGTATAACTACAACAACATAAATGAAAAGAAAGCTAAGCCCTGAATAACTGAAAAACCAGTAAAGATACCAGAGATCAGATAAGAAGGGAAATCTTGCTCCCTTTCTACCCCTCCCTACCCATCCCTGCCTTCCCACCAACCCCACCCTTCACCCCACATACAAAAGAAGGCAAAGGGCTGTTGGGACAGAATATTTCATATTGTCTCTATTCTGGTGGTTTTGTTTAAATGCTTTTGTAACAATGGAGAGGTTGTTGTCCTTGGTGGAGTGGTGGGGGTAGGGAAAACATTGAAATACCTGTAGTATAAACACAAAAGGCATCAATGACTTTATAAAGGCATAGATAGTATATTTATTTAAGTTGCAGATTACAGAGAGAGTGATACCAAACTGGATACAGAATTGGGATTGAAGAAATATTTTGGTAGGTAAGAGCATTGGGTTGAGTTGAACTTATACCAGATGAACTTTTCAGCTATTATTCCCTTAGAACTCTCCCATGATGGCATTCACATATATGACCCACAAATTTGAGGATTATTGGTCTAGGCAAATGTAGTTTGCTCTACCACATACAGATAATGCAACTCCACATTTGACTGAGCATATAACAACACCCTGATGAGTATTTATAGACTGCTGTATTTCTGCTGTAGTGGATTATAATGTTTTTGCTATTATAGTAAAGAATCAATACGCATAAGATGGATAGCTGTTAAAATATAATTGTTAAAAAGATTTATCATCTGAAAAATGCTATCCACCTCCAGAGAAAGAACTGATGGCACCTGAATACAGACTGAAGTATATTATTTTTCACTTACTTTTTTCTTCTTTTTTTTTTTTTTGGTTCAAGTTTTCTTGCACAAAATGACAAATATGGTAATATATTTTACATGATTGCATATGTATAACCTATATCAGATTTCTTACTGTGTCAGGGAAGGGGGAGGCAAGGAGAGAAGGATAGAATTTGGAATTCAAAACTTTTAAAAATTGTTAAAAATTGTTTTTACATGTAATTGGGGGGAAATAAAATAATATCTTTTTAAAAAATTTATCTCAGTTTGTGTTTTGCTTTCAGAAAACATTCATGTATATTTTATTAGAGCTGATTTAAGATGATTACAATAAACATGCAAGTACAGCAAAAGAAATTCACGGAAGATATCCCCATTTATTTTAGAAATTAAAATTTTCATATTTTTTTTATTGAATTGCAGTAACCTATCTTCAAGTATGGTAAATTATTTTATGTAAGTCTCAAGGGTAAATGTTTTTTCCTATGGTCATACTGATGAATAAATCTTAATCTTCTCTAGAATACCATGCAGAAACATCCATAGAAGTTCAACTGAAGAGGAGGATTCTTCTTCAGAGGAAGAAATGGAATGGAGTGGTAACAATTTGCTTCTGGCTAATCTTTCTATACCTCAGTTAGACGGAACAGCAGATGAAAACAGTGGTAAGTGAACAAAGCTGTTTTTAAAGTTTGCTGACTTTAAGAAAAAAAATCTTAGACTTTAGCACTAAGACACCAAGCTTATAATATGGTTTTTGAAAGGTACAGATTGTCTTGTATACATTTCTTCTATCTCCTGAATATATTTCTTTTGGAAGAGATTGAATACCTGACACTTTATTTCTTAAATGTATATAATTTTCTGAGGCATTGATTACATTTCATAGACTTTGTGTACTTTCAGCTTGGTAGAATGGAAAGATCCCTGGCTCAAGAGTCAGAGGACATGGGTTCAAATCCTACCTTTGCCTATTTGACCTTGGGGCAAGTTACTCAACCTCCACTGGCTTCAGTTTCTTTATCTGTAAAGTGAGGAGGTTGAATTAAATGATATCCTGTACTCCAAAGAGGTCAGAGACAGAAAGAAAAGTCCCAAAATATGCATAGCAGCATTTTCTGTAGGAGCTAACAATAGCAAAGAACTGGAAATAAAGTTAAAGGATCATTGATTGGGAATGGCTTACCCCAATTTTTGGTACATAGATATAATGGAATATTACTGTGCCATAAGAAACAAGGAAGAATTCAAAGAAGCATGGGAAAAGTTGTATGAAATAGTGCAGATTAAATAAATTAGGCCAGAAAAATAGTATACAAAATGATTGTAACCATGTAAATAACTTCCCCACCCCCACTCCCCAAAAATAATCTGAAACTTGACTAGATGACCTCTGAGATCCCTTCCAACTCGAGGTATCTGATCTTATGGTCATGTAGTTCAGAAAGGAAACAAGAAAAATAGCCTACTCATATTCCCTTCCCAAAACACAAAATTTCTCTTCTGTTTGAAATAATAATGCAAAGAGGCAAATTTGTATTAGGACTAAATTGATTTTAAGTTTCATGGGTAAAAGAAATATTTTTGCTCACCTCCCCCCACCCCCCATTTTCCTAATCCCCAAATTAGGGTGAAAAAAATTAGGATGATAGGATTTAACACAGCTTGCTTTTAATTATGTGCCCTCTGCACCAGCTTTCCCACATGCCTGGAATGCATTCCTTCCTCAGTTGGACCTTGTAGAATCTTGTTTCTTTCAAAACTCAGCCTAAGCCCTGCCTTCTACATGAAGCCCTTTCTGACCCCTCTCCCAACTACTCTGCCCTCTCCCTCAAATTGTCTTATATTCATTTTGTATGTTCATGTTGGCTACCCAGTAGGATGTAAGCATGTTAATTAAGTGGTCAATGAAGAACAATGAGCCCAAAGGACAAATAATAAAAAATAATTTATTCTTGTCCTTGGTAAGGTTTGAGTGATAATTGTTTAGCAGGTTTACCTTCTTAATGTTAAAATTAGTTCACATTTTCTGAGCATATTCACACTTTTGAGAGGGTAGAGGTAGGAGAATGCTGCACATTGAGGAGAAGCTGACCTTTGTGAGGTATTATCTGTTGTTGGTGTTGGTTGGTTTTGGTGTTGTTGTAATTAGGTAATTAGGAGGCAGCTAGGTAGTTCAGTGGATAGAGTATTGGGCCTGGAGTCAGCAAGACCTGAGTTCAAATCCAGCCTCAGACACTCACTAGCTCTGTGATCCTAGGCAAGTCACTTAATCTCTGTTTGCCTTTATCTTATGGAGAAGGAAATGCAAACCACTCTAATATCTTTGCCAAGAAAACCCCAATTAGGGTCACAAAGAGCCAGACACAACTAAACAAAACAAAAAAGTAATTAGGAGACAGTCATAAAACAAAATTTACCATTTAAACCTTCTATGTTAGGTAAATGTAAAATATCATTAGGGAGGAAGGAGAGGTTCTAATCTTCTGATTTCATCAGTATAAAGAAGAAAACTAACTCCTTCCACAAATGCAGATTAGCAACTCTTCTGTAATTGAATCTTGCAGAGCTTCCTAGGGGCCCTGAAAAGGTAAGTGCCTTGCCCAGGGTCAAACAGACTCTTTGTATTAGAACCCAGGTCTTCCTGCCTCTGAGGCTAGGCCTTCTGTCCACTGTGCCACCATACTGCCTTTGATAAGAAAAGAGGAAAATATAATTCTAGGTACAAGGAAAATATTAGAGGTGTATTGTCTTCTTACACATATTGTAATAATTTCTGATCTTCAATTTTTCTTAACAGTGGATTGTTTTTGATGTGCATTGTAATTGTTAGCATAAGTGTTTGATTTTGTGTGGTTCTTCCTTTCATGATGATTGTATCTTGATGTGAAAAGGTATTTTAAAGGAGATCTTTAGAAAGAGGGATAATTTAAAATAATTAACTTATTTTCTGTTACAGACAATCCATTGGATAATGAAAGTTCCCGAACTCACTCCTCTGTTATTGCAACAAGCAAAATGTCAGTTAAGACCTCCATCTTTCACAAAGATGCTGCTACATTAGAACCCCCATCTTCTGCTAAAATTACCTTTCCATGTAAACACACAAGTGCCCTTTCTTCCCATGTTTTGAATAAGGAGGATTTAATGGAAGACCTTTCACAGCCAAACAACATAGAGACAGGACCTGACCACACAGTCCATTCTCTTACAAATGAAAGCACTTACTCCATGAAGTACCCAGGATCTTTAAGCAGTACTGTCCATTCTGAAAACTCTCATAAAGAAAGTAGTAAGAAAGAAATCTTTGCAGTTTCTTCCTGTGAAAGTAGTATATTTGACTATGAAGAAGATATTTCATCTTTAAATAGACAAATACCAAGTAGAAAGTATACCAGCATTAGGAAGATAGAAAAGGATGCTTCTTTTATGCATGTGAGTCGCCACATTAGTGAAAGTACGTTGGGAAAAAACTTCAACTTTTCTGATTTGAGTCACTCAAAAAATAAGCTGTCCTCTGAAGGAACTGAGAAAGGTAGCAGCACAGCTCTAAATAATTTTTTTCCTTCATCATTAACTGAAAATTGTGAATTAGTGTCTTGCTCAGGGGAGAGTAGAACTGTGGTGCATTCTGTAGAAAGTGCCAATAATGAAGGTGGAATCAATAAACTTAAAATTAGGTATGAAGAATTTCAAGAACATAAGACTGAAAAACCAAGCCTCAGCCAGCAAGCAGCACATTATATGTTTTTTCCAAGTGTTGTTCTTTCTAATTGTCTTAGTAGGCCACAAAAACTATCCCCTGTAACATATAAACTGCAACCTGGCAACAAACAGTCCCGGTTAAAGCTAAGTAAAAAGAAACTTATAGATCATCAGGAGAATTCTACCAGTATCAGTGATATTGGGTCCACAAAGGAAGGTTGTTATATGCAGGGTAACTCTTGTAGTACTAATTCTGAGAAAGATGATGCTCTATCCAGTGATGTAATTAGAGTTGCTCATGAAGCCTTTGAAAATAAAACCCCTGCTGATAGTTGTGTTGACTGTCACTTTGGAGATGGAACTTTGGAATCTGAGCAATCTTTTGGACTTTTTGGAAATAAATACACACTTAGAGCCAAACGTAAAGTAAATTATGAGACTGAAGATAGTGAGTCAAGCTTTGTCACACACAACTCAAAAATTAGCCTACCTCAGTCCATGGAGATTGGTGAAAGTTTAGATGGATCACTGAAATCTCGAAAGCGGAGGAAAATGTCTAAAAAACTGCCACCTGTCATTATTAAGTATATCATTATTAATAGATTTAGAGGGAGAAAAAATATGCTTGTTAAGCTAGGAAAAATAGATTGTAAAGAGAAACAGGTAATACTTACAGAGGAAAAAATGGACCTGTATAAAAAGCTTGCACCTTTGAAGGATTTTTGGCCAAAAGTTCCTGACTCCCCTGCAACCAAATACCCCATTTATCCATTAACACCAAAGAAAAGTCATAGAAGGAAAGCAAAACATAAGTCAGCAAAGAAAAAAACTGGTAAACAACAGAAGACAAATAATAAAAATATCAAAAGAACGTTGTCTTTTAGGAAAAAACGGTCACATACTATTCTTTCTCCTCCCTCACCATCTTATAATGCTGAAACTGAAGACTGTGACTTGAATTACAGTGACGTTATGTCTAAACTTGGTTTTCTTTCTGAGAGAAGCACAAGTCCCGTGAATTCTTCTCCACCTCGCTGCTGGTCTCCCACAGATCCAAGAGCTGAAGAAATTATAGCTGCTTCAGATAAAGAAGCATTGCTTTTTAAGGGTCCTAATATATATAACAGCAAGATTATTAATTCCAGTGTGGGAAAAAATAGTCGAACAAAAGCTCAGGTTAAGAGATCAAAAACAAAACTTGTTAATCCCTCTGTAGTTACTAAGAAAAGGAATAAACGAACTCAAACTCGTAAGCCAGGAGAGGATGGAAGGAAGAAACCTAGAGCGAAGCAGAAACAAAAAACAAGTGATAAACGCAGCACCCCAAGAAAGCACATAACATTTAAAGATGAAAAAATAAACACACCAACTAGTGCTGAAGTTAAGTTTGTACTAAAACACCAGGATCTCTCTGAGATCTCAAGCAACTTTGGAGGTTCTGAGTCACTTCATAAACAGAAAGATGTATCTGGGCCTGGCCCTGCTACCATACATCCCCTCTCAACTCCATTCCCCTCAATAGTTAATGTACAACAGAAGTCACCAGGCTGTTTTCCTTCTTCCTTGGAAAATAAGAAATCCATAGATTTGCAAGCATTTTCTTCTCTACAAGATGATTTATGTTCATCAGTAGTTTCTACACCTTTAGGTCCTGGAAAAGAATTATCAAAAATTAATGCTCAAAGGTCCCATAATCAAAGTGCTGTTTATAGCATAAAGGAGTCAACTTTGATTCAAAGTAATATATTTGACCTTTCCAACCATTTTTCTCAGGTAGCACAGAATACACAGTTATCTTTGGGTATGATGTCTACAAAGACAGAAGAAAATGCAAATTCACACAAAAAAATTTTGTCATCTGTGACAAAATTAAATGAACATCATAGCTCCTTAGATTCAATAAAATCAGATCAGCTACATGCCCCTGATTTTTTGCATTGCAAAGATAGTCAACCGCACATTGTTTGCATGCCAGAACCATCAAAGCACAGTGATCCTTATTCCCCTATACATATAACCTCTGAAGAAAACCATGGATCTCTTCAGTTGCCTAATAGCTGTTTTGTAACTTCCTTGAGAAGTCCAATAAAACAAATAGCATGGGAGCAAAACCAGAGGGGATTTATTTTGGATATGTCCAGTTTCAAACCTGAAAGAGTAAAGCAACGATCTCTGTCAGAAGCAATTTCGCAAACCAAGGCGCTTTCTCAGTGTAAAAATCGAAATGTATCAGCAGCTGCATTTGGGGAAGGACAGTCTGGATTAGCAGTTCTGAAAGAATTACTCCAAAAAAGACAGCAGAAAGCACAAAATGCACATGTTATGCAAGACCCATTGTCAAGTAAACCTCAACTGAACAGAAGTGCTTCTTCTCTGGAGCCTAATAAAGCAGCCAAAAGATCACGATCAGTAACATCTCCAAGAAAACCTCGAACTCCAAGAACTACAAAACCTAAAGAAAAAATCCCAAAACTTTTAAAATTAGACTCTTTGAATTTACAGAACACAGGTCAAATAGACCATTCAGTTTCTGATGATAGTCCCGTCTTTTTCTCAGATCCAGGTTTTGAAAGTTGTTATTCACTTGAAGATAGCTTGTCACCTGAACATAATTATAATTTTGATATTAATACCATAGGGCAAACTGGATTTTGCAGTTTCTATTCAGGAAGTCAGTTTGTCCCAGCTGATCAGAACTTGCCACAGAAGTTTTTAAGTGATGCAGTTCAAGATCTTTTTCCTACACAAACTACTGAAAACGAGTTTTTAAGTCATGATAATGAAAACTGTGATGAAAACAAGCATCATTCAGCTGACCCAACCTCGTGGATTAGATCTAGTGCTTTAAGTCCTGAACTTTTTGATAAGCAACCTATAGAAAACAATGAGAATCATCGGCATAATCAGTGGAAAAACAGTTTACACCCTTCTCGATCTAATTCAATAATGGATTCCTTCTCTGTCCAGCAGTCAGGTGACTGTGTAAATGAGAAATCCATATTGACTAGGAATTCAGTAAGCAAAGAAGTGTTTCTTAGCCTTCCACAGCCAAGCGATTCAGACTGGATTCAAAGCCACACTAAAAAAGAAGTTTCTTTTGAAACAGGACAGTCTCTTGATTCCATCAATACCTCTTTTACTGCAATATTATCATCTCCAGATGGTGAACTTGTAGACGCAGCTTCAGAAGACTTAGAACTATATGTTTCAAGAAATAATGAGATGTTAACACCAACTCCAGATAGTTCACCAAGATCTACCAGCTCTCCTTCACAATCCAAAAATGGTAATTTCACACCTCGAACTGCTCATATTCTGAAACCACTTATGTCCCCACCAAGTCGGGAAGAAATTATGGCAACTTTATTAGATCATGACCTTGCAGAAACTACTTACCAAGAACCATTTTGCAGTAATCCTTCTGATGCACCAGAAAAACCCAGGTAATATGATGATGCCTTTTTAAAAAAATCATTATTTAAACACATGCATAACTGTAATGTATAGCATCACATCCAGTGTCATTTGATGTATGCCTCCTTATTTCAGTCTTTTTAACCTTATCACTATGAATAGTATTCATAAGGACTTTGAAGAAAGGGGCTATTTCATTTTTGTTTCTGTATTCCTAGAGCCTAGCACCCTGGCCCACTGTATTTATAGAGAATTTTCCTTGGTCAGGAGTACCCACACTGATTAAGTGATGAGTCTGGATCAAAAAATAAAAATTGAAACAGTATATAAGCATGTATCATCCTAATGCTGAATTATGAAATATGACTGAAAATTTCCAAATGCTATGCAGATAATCAGCACAATGGATGTTTTATAATTGTTGTTTAGTCAGTCACGTCCAACTCTTTGTGACCCTATTTGGGGTTTTCATGGCAAAGATACTGAAGTCGTTTGCCAATTCCTTCTCTAGCTCATTTTACAGATGAGGAACTGAGGCAAATAGGGGTAAGTGACTTGCCTAGAGTGACAAAACTAAGAAGTGTCTGAGACTGGATTTGAACTTACATCCTCCTGGCTGCAGGCCCAGTACTCTATCTGCTAGTACCACCTAGCTTCCCCATGTTTTATAATAATTCCTCGTGTTCTTTTGCTTAGCAAATGCTCATTGAATGAAAAAAATAATGCTTTTATGAGCATTCACAACTCTGGGGATTACTGAATACTACATGTAGTCAGATTAATTTATTTGTATGATATATAAAAATATATGTAATGAGTGTTGGACCCATATTTAGTACTACATAGTGAGGTGTGATACACAGAATACAAATGAAATATTAATTATAACATTTATTATTAATATCAGTTCTTTACAGTTCTATAGCACTTTGATGGAACATTGCAGAGAGCATTGGTTCTGAAACCAAAAGACCTGGGTTCATATTCTACCTCTGCCAGTTACTATCTTCTGACCATGGACAAGTCACCTTAACCTCCCTGGGCCTCAGTTTCCTCATCCATATCATGAAAGGGTTGGACTAGATGTCTTTAAGTTCCCATCTGGCTCGATACCTATCATTCTTTCATTTTTTAGCAGATTTAATGCTTCACAATTCAGTATTACAATGGTACATGCTACATTTTGTTTATTTTTGTTTATTTTATTTTTTTGGTCCAGACCTGTGATTCCATTACTCCTGACAAAGGAAAGTGCACCACTACAGGTTGTCTGCTATTCTTCAACATAGAGTCTTGGAGAGAGACCTAGAGCACTAAGAGTTTAAGTCATTTGCCCAGGATCGAACAGCCTGTATGTGTCAGAGGTGGGACTTGAAACCACTTCTTGTTTAACCACAAAGCTGAGCCCTCGATTCTGTATACCATGCTTCCTTCTCTGGTCAATATTAAGATCAATTAAATACCAGTCTTGGTCCTTTTATAAAGGATAAAAATAAAAAATGTTTACTCTGCTGTTAGACTTGAATAGTATAAATTACTCTAGACAAAAAGGCAAAACTGGCCTCAACTTATGCCTCTGACATATATAATTCCTCATGTAGTACATAAGAAATATGGTTAATAATAAAGAGTTGTGAGATATTGTCTATAAAGTACTTTGCAAATCTTGAAGCACTAAATAAATGTCATTTGATGAGGAAGAGAGTGAGGATGATGATAAAGATTGATGAGCTGGGAGTCCAGTTCTTACCTCCCTTTATTGCAGTACTTCTGCTTCTTAATGACAAGTACTAGATGTTGAGTATGGAAGGAAATAAAGCTACTGAAGACATCTCATACAGGACTAGTAGGAACTTTCAGAACTACTTTTCAAATCATTTGTGGTTATAATGTATTTGAATACCTCAGTGTATACTTGATTATCCCTCTTCATCCCTAATAGCACCTTCCCACACAACTTTTCTGTGTGAAGAAGAATGCCGGGTAACATACAGGAAGAGGTCTATGTACTCTTATTTCCTCCAACATGGTCCCTCTGTCTCAACTCCATATAACTTTTGACACAGAGATGACACACTTCTTTTTAAAAGAGTTTTATTTTTGTTTCCAGTTATTTGGTTCTGCAGCAACTGCTGGTCTGTTTGGCTCAGAATTGTGGAGCCCTTTATATTATATGAATAGACTGACCTTTTGATCTTACTATCCTCAAAATTATCAGTAAGGAAATAGAAACTATCTATACAGTCTTTTCTTACTGTAAACAGTGGGACATAGTCTTGTAAATGTTCACTACAGAGAAAAATTTGCTTTGGTTTCCCTAGAGACTATGCTAGGACTGATGTCTGGTCACAAAGTATAATGTACAAGAAAAAAGGGCTCTTGGGAATATTCCTTGCAGTTCAAATTTACTTCACAATGAGCCTTAACAGTTGATCGTCAGATAATATTGACATGAACCAAATGTAGTCCTCTTAGCCTATTCATCCAAGTAGTAATGTATTGGTCACGTGTTAATGTCTTAGTGGAGATCTTTCTTACATGTAAAGTAATCTATTGTCATTGATATAACTAAATTAAGGATATAACAAAAATCAAGATTTGGCGTACAAACGTAGTCCACACAAGTTCATGATAAAATTGACTAGCTAGGCATGCATAAATACAGCAGAAGGTGTACAAACACAATCCATACAAGTTCATGATAAAACTGACTAGCTACATAATGCATAAATGCAAAATTAATCAAAATGAGCCATAAGGTAGAAAGGAAGCAACATTCTAGTGAGCTTCAAAAACCAGTACATTACAAGAATGTTTAGATATATAGTAATCAACAAAAATAAGACATGTACATTGTATGAGTTAATTTTGCCAAAACATTCATCTCTAAGTCCTAAATACAGAACAGTATCAAGAACTGAAATTTGAAACTTTGGAGAGTTTGAAGAGAATTTAGTAGTGAGCAAAGACAAACAATAAACCATTAGAAAATACAGCAAAACTTCTCTCAAACAGTTTACTTTGGAAGTGGGGATATAGGAACTAAAAAATAAACAAGGGTATTCTTCATTTTTTTAAAAAAACAAAGCCCTGAGCAAAGACTTCATTGTGAATGTCTTATTCCAGCTCACAAAGAAACCCGTCTTCAAGAACGAATTATCATCATGCCTTCCTCATTGACATTTTATTAACAGCTTATAGGAAAGATCTGTCTATGCAATAGAAGTCTGAATTTTAGAGGAATTGCTTATGTAGGAAATTCTACTTGAGGTTTTGGTACCTCCATTGTACTGAAACTTAATAGCAAGGATATTTACCAAGCATATTAATTCTTAATCTAAGAAACTAAGAGTAAATTGTTTGATGTAAAAGAAATATAATGGGAATTAATCTATTACTATGTAAGAAACTTAATGGGGCTATGTAAATTCAATCAGTAAATCAACAGGCATTAATCAAATGCTTCCTATATTTTAGAAATTCAGCACTAAGGTCTAGGCTCTAGACATACAGATTCAAAAAGAAAATGGCTCTTGCCTACAGGGAACTTACATTCTGTCTCAAGGTCATACATTTTTAGCTAGAAGGGACCTTTGACATCTCATCTAACTCCCTGTTTTATAGATGAGGAAACTGAGCCGTACAAAGGTTAAATGACGTACCCAAGTTCAAATAAGTAGTGAGTAACAGAGCAGGTCCTCTCATTGTTTACATCTATGCAATCATAAGTCCAGTCCCTGTTCCTGTCCCTGTAATCTGCCTCTTCCAGTGCTTTTTCTACTGTACCATGCTGCCCATCTCCATGGAAACGGCATATACACATAAAAATAAATGCAAGTAATATACAGGTAAATACAAAGTAATTTGGGATGCACTAGTAGCTAGGGGGATTAGAAAAGGCCTCATATAGTAGGTGACACTTGAGCTGATTTTGAAGGAAATGAGATTCTAAAAGGTGAGGGGAGGGCATTTCAGGCAGTCACTACAGGAAAATGCAAGTTCTGGCAGGGGAGGGTGTAAGAGTTGATTTGCATATGGTATCTGAGAGAAAAATTCTAAAAAATTTGAATTAAAGAGTAAATGTCCTTCAAGAGTATTAGAGTTCTCTAAAAGTAGAATCAGCTGTTTATGGAGGTATTACGTTTCTCTGGAAATCTTTGCTTAGAGGTTGGATGGCCATGTCTTAGAGATAGAGAGGATTTCTATTCAAATAGGGGCTGGACCAGATGATCTCCAAGACTCCTTCCAACTCTAAGATTTTGTGATTCTATGACTATTTTATTGAAAATGTCTAGGGGCAGCTATTTGGTGCAGTGTACAAGGCTCTGGTCTTGGAGTCAGGAGGACCTGAGTTCAAATCTGACCTCAGACACTTGGCACTTACTAGCTGTGTGACCCTGGGCAGGTCACTTAACCCCAATTGCCTCACCAAAAAGCAAAAAAAAAAAATGTTGAGTAGCTGTTCTTCACTCATTTCAAGTACTGATTAAAAGACAAATTCTTATAAGTAAAAGTAGAAGACAGGAAGTCTTTGCATTACATCTGAGGATTTAGTATGATTTCAGGGAAAGAGCTGATGTCTTACAGTTTTTAGTTATCAAAGAAAATCAGCATCATTTGTCACAAACTCCCTCTTCTCCACTTCTCTGTATTTCATAATTTCCTAAAATTGTCCCCTATTGTATTTTCTTTTGCTCCAGTCTTTGAAGTCTAGATTTTCCACACCAAGATCTACTTCTCTTATATTACATCTTTAATCCCAGTCTCTTCCATCTTCTCCAGCAAGTTGTTCCCATAATCATGTCCTTTCTTTCTATAATCTTCAGGCTTTCCCCATCCACTGATTGCTTCTCTCCTGCCCACATACATGACCACATCCTCCCAATCCTTTAAAAAAAAAAAACCAAAAAACCTTTAACAAGAAAACATTGATAAACTGGAGAGTAGTAAGAGAAGTTCAAACAAGATGATGAAAGACCCTGAATTCCTACTGTAGGGGACCAGCTAAAGAAACTAGGGATCTTTAGCCTGGAAAAGAGAAGACCCAGGGAGTACATGATAGTTGTCTCAAGTTTTGGAAGTTCTGTCACGTGAAAGAGGGATTTAACTTGTTCTTTCTGGCCACAGAGGGCAGAAAATGAATGAGTGGAAGTTTTAAAAGGATAATTTTGATGTAGTATAAAGAGAACTTCCTAACAGAGTTGTAGAAAAGTAGAATGGATTGTGTCAGTAGACCCTCATTGGAGGTCTTTAGGTAAAGCTTGAATAACCACTTATTGAATATGTAGCAGAGAAAATGTTTTTTTCAGCAATAGTTGAACTAGGTGACCACCAATGTCCCTTTCAACTTAGAAATTCTGTGAAAAATCTGCAATAATGAATGTAAAATGTAAGACAATATAAGTGTCAGCTGCTATTATTCAGTACTAAATGAAAGAGAAAAAAAAACTTCACTAGACTGTACCATCAACTCTTAATTCTCATCCTATATCTCTCCTCCATTTCTCAGCCACTCTTAGATGAAACTGTCTGTACTTATTGCCATCACATTTCTCTTGTCACTCCTCATCCCATTGCAGTTAGGATTCTGAGCTTATCCAACTGAAACTGCCATCTCCAAAGTTACCAGTGAACTCCTAATTGCCAAATCTTATATCTTTTTATCAGTCCTCATCCTTAACCTCACTGCAACATTCAACACTGTTGACTACATTCTTCTCTTGGATACCTGCTTCTGTTTTAGTAACAGTGCTCCCTTTTGTTTCCTTTCCTATCTGTCCAATTAGATTGCTTAATCTGTTTCCTTTGTTAGATCATCAGCCATATCACACCCCTTTACTGTTGATGTTCCTTCAGATTCTTTTCTATGTCCTCATATCTCTGTAGTCTCTCATTTTGTGACTTCATCAACTCCCATGAGTTCAATTATAATCTCTGTTCATATGACTGCCAGATCTGTATATTCAGCCTTCTTCTCTTTCGCTCCTGCACTCAGGTTTTGTATCACTAATCAAATACTATATATTTTGAACTGGACCACACAGGGAAATAATAGATCTTCCTTTCCCATTTTGGAAGTCTTCAAGCAAAAGTTAGAGACCAGTTGTCATGTGATTGCAATGGGTTTTTTTTTTCAGGTACGGGTTGGGCCAGAGGGCTGCTCCATTTCTTCTAACTCTGAGATTTCAAGAAGAATTGCCCAAGAGAAGATGCATAATAAAAGATATTATCACATGGTCAGGAATCATATTCGGAAGTACAAAGATCAGTAGGAGTCACTTGGTTTGAGTAGGCACCATGAAAGAAAACTATGCAAAAAGAGTTTATAAGGTTAGGTATATGTAAAATGAGTTGATCTAGAATAGAGAAGCTGAGTTGAACAGCCTACTAGAAATTAATTAAGAACAAAGTTTGTGGGAAGAAGACAGAAACCAGTAAAATAAAATGCACTTGGACTAGACATGTGATTTAATTGGCATAGGGAACTCCTGATGAGAGATTTCCTCTTCTAACATAGATCAGCACCTTCTCTGCACTTAAAGTTATAAGAAAATTTATGGGTTATTAAGAGGTTAAGTAACTTGCTCACAAACACAAACAATACATTTCAAAGGTAGGGCTTGAACCCAGGTCTTCCTAACTCCTAAGCCATATCTATCAACTCACCTATATCGCTGTCTTTCAAAAAAAGTGAAAGACAGAACTAAATCTACCAAAATTTTCCCTTACCATTGCCACACAAAAACCATAGTTAGATTATGTTATGTGCAGAGCACAAGATGGGATCTGAAGCCAAAAACCATTGACCTTGCATTCAGGCCAAAAAGAAAACGAAAAAATTTATATTCAGTGAAGCTTGGGGTAGAATCAATGGAGTATATTCAGACCAGGACAGGAAAGAGTCTAAAAGACTTATACAAAAGGTGATGAAAGGAACTTTATCATGTATTACATACATGATATAATGTTAAAATAGAGTAAGCTCTATGGTACTTAAGAAGAGGGAGCAAGATTTCTTCTAGCCAGAGCAATCAAGAATAGCTCCATGAAGAAGCTGAAATTTGAGCAAGGAATCTGAATATGGTTAGAAATTAGATAGAACTGGACAAGGAGAGCAGTCCAGAATAAGAAGGGGAAAAAAAAGTATTAAAAATATTTATTGCTTCTCAACAGTGGAAGCAGGCTCTCTGCTATATAGAGAGAGTAGCAGACTACTCTCTAGTCGTGAACTAGATCCCCATCACTGAAGATATTTAAGCAGAGGTTGCCATAATGCAGAGGTTCTTAACTCGTTTTTGTGCCACGCACTCCTTTGGCAACCTGATAAAGCCCATGGGCCTTTCTCAGAAAAATGTGTTTAAATATATAAATAAAATACGTAGGATTACAAGGGAAACAAATTATGTCAAAATATAGATATATATTTTTTTAAAGCAAGTTTATGGACACCAGGTAGAAACTTTTATAAAGTCATATGGATTTCCTGAATTGGGCAGAACATTGGACTCACCCAAGGTTTCTTCCAACTCTTAAGTTCTCTGAGTAATCTGAAACTATAATACACCTCTACTTCATACACTAAATCCTAAAATTCCCTTCTGCATAATACAAGTGAACTGATTAGGTGTAGTGGATAGATAATCATTAAGAGGGCTTGAAAAGGGGGTCACCACTAGAGAAGGGAGAAGAGTAGGGAAAACCTATATGTAAAAGCTGGCAGTGATCTAAGAAATTTCCTTTTTTTTTTTTTAAGCACTAGTTGATAAATGAAAAAATAGCTAAAGCAAGCAGTAGCAGGAACCTGATGCTGAACCTTCTATTTGGTGGTAGCCCATTTCCTCAGAAGTTTTTAAATTTAAGTAGACAAATCATATAAATTATTTGGGAAATTATAAGGATACTGCAATACAACCACTGTCTTTCCCTGAAGAACAGATGATGTTTTGTAGGGGACCGTAGCCAATATCTATATACCTATATTGAGAACTGAAAAGCATATTAATCATGCAGACTCTTTAGAATATCTGAGTAGAAATTGAAATTTTTGGAGGGGTGCATTGAGTGTATGAGGGATTTCATCCCAGTAGGTACAGAATGAAAATTTTTAATATTTTCCTTTAAGGCAGAACACTAAAATGCTTTCATTTCAGGGAGATTGGAGGACGACTTCTCATGGTAGAAACCAGGCTTCCAAATGATCTGGCTGAATTTGAAGGAGACTTTTCACTTGAAGGATTGAGACTGTGGAAAACAGCTTTCTCAGCAATGACTCAGAATCCACGACCAGGATCACCACCTCGTAATGGTCAGACAGTGGCCAATAAAGGATCAAACAATAGCCATAAAACTATAGAAGATAAAAAAATTGTGATTATGCCTTGTAAATGTGCCCCAAGCCCCCAACTGGTTCAAACATGGCTTCAAGCCAAAGAAGAGTATGAACGTTCCAAGAAACTACCTAAAACTGAGCAAATTGAAATGGTAAAAAACACTGAAAATTTAGGCTATCCAGTTAACCAAGATGACAGATCTGTAGTGCCTCCCCAAAATAATATTGTCTTACATGTAGCCCCTTCTACAACAGAGATTAAGGAAGACTTGTGTAATTCTGAGCTTAGTACACAAGTCTCAGAGGTTAATTCCATGGAATGTAGTAGAGCTACAGTTGAAAGTCAGACACTGCCACTTGTGGCTTCGTCAGGAGAGCCTGAAAAAGATGAAGATGAGGATGATGATTATTATGTCAGTTATAGTTCCCCAGATTCTCCAGTACTTCCTCCCTGGCAACAAGCAGCATCCCCAGATTCCAAGCTGTTAGATGTAGATGACAAGTCCTGTAAGATGCACAATACAAACCCATCACCAAAAGAACTGAGTTCCCTCCCTATGGAAAACTTCCCAAAACCAGCTAAAAATGGCATACAGGAGAGCCCCCACAGTGAGGCCCAGGAGACTCAAACTAAGTCTCCCTGTCAATTTAGAGCAAAAAATGGAAAATGTGATTCATATTGCCTTCATAGTACACCTATCATACAGAGAAGACGTCTCGATATGCTACCCGAAGCAACTGATATTAGTCCCTTATCAAGAGGTAAGTTTGAAACAAAAAAGTATGCCCCAATATTTCTTGCAATGGATAAGACTATAATAACATATCTTATCTAATGAGTATCAAAAGTAGTTTTTCATAGAATTTAACCCACTGAATTAAACTATAAGTTTATGATTTATGTTTCTGTTACTATTCAGTGACTTATAAAATATTTATTGAAATCTTAATGCATTCATTCAAATGAGAAATAATTTTTGTGCAAGAGGACCAAGGATTTTCAATGAACCCATTTATTAAGTAACTACTATTTGGAAGGCACTGTGGTAAACACCAGAGATACAAACAAAAATAGAAAGCCCCACCCTGAGGTGAACAAAATTATTAGGGGACATAAAACATGTACTTACCTGGAGGAACAGTTGAGTCTTCATAAGAAGATTTGGCATTTTAACAGAGTCCTGAAGGGTGGCAAAGATTTCAATAGACAGAAATGTCAGGGGAAAGCATTTCCCTTGTAGGAAACAAAACAAAAAGCATGTGGAAGTAGATTACCATCCAGGAAGTTTTCATGGAATGTCAAGTATAGTTATCGTGTTTGGGTCTTGTAAATGTCCCATGTCACTAAATGGTTTGGGCATGTATTCAAGCCAACATTCAGAACAAATATTCCATTTTAGGAAGAATATTGTCAAGCTGGAATATGTCCAGGTGAAGGGGGCCAAGCTGGTGAGAAGACTTGAAACCATACTGTAGGCAGGTCATGTGATGAAAGATGGGTAGATTTAGCCAGAAGAAGAGGCAATATAAGGGAGATATGATAGCTGTCTTCTAGTAGATTAAGGGTTGAAATATGGGAATGGAAGAAGTTTGTTGTTGTTTTGTTTTGATGGCTTTTTTTTAAATTAACTCTCAAGGTCAAGAAGTAGGACCAATGAGTGCAAGTTAGAGAGAGCCAAATTTTACTTTGATATCAAAAATTCCTTTCTAAAATTAAAACTGGACAAAAGTAGGATGCATTACTTCATTAGGTAGTAAGTTCACTTCTTTTTGGAAGTGTTCAACTAGAGACTAGATAACTACAGAATCATATGATTTAGAGTTAGAAGAAATCTTCAAGATCATATTATCCAACTTCATTTTACACATGGAGAAACTGAGGCCCACACATGTTGGGTGACTTACCCAAGGTCAGTAACGAAGTAACAAATCCAGAATTCAAACCCAGTTCATTTGACACCAAATCTAGTACTCTTTCCACTATTGTTAAAGGTATACCAGAGAATATTCCAGCTATGTGCATGGATGACCTTGGAGTCAATAATTCCAACTCAATGATTTTTTGAGCCTAAAGTTATTAAATGTCTACTATGCAAGGCATTATAATACTAGATTCTGGAGATAGAGATATGAAAAGATCATATGCCTTGCCTTCTGGAAGTTTATAATGGGTTAAATAAAACATAGACAAATAACTAATATTTTATAATAACTGCATAAGAGAGATCATAGTGAAAGATTACTTCTGGCTGGCATACTTGAGGAAGGCTTCATGGCTCCTAAACTGAGCCTTGAAGAAAAGGATTTCAGCAGGTCTAGAAATTCAGAATGGGGCAGAATTCATTCCACACATACAATTCTTGTGCACACTCAACCCTGTTGGCTTCAGTTTCCTCACCTGTACAATGAACTGGAGAAGGAAATGGCAAACCACTACAATATTTTTGCCAAGAAAACCCCAAATGGGGATATAAAAGAGACATGACTAAAAGAACTCAATAACAGCAAATGGTTACTATATGCTAAAGGGTGGTATACTGGGAGAACAGGGAAAAGTTACAAGAGTATAATTAGGGCAAAGAAAGGTTCAAAAGGAGTAAGATTATGGGAAAAGTAGATTATGTAGGTGATTGTGATCAGAGGGAAAATTCAGAATTCAAGATCTTGGAAGCAGAGCAATTTTGAGTGATGATGAGGTCTAAGATTTGACCACCCCACCAGGATGGCTGAAATAAACAAAAGTTAAGTAACTCATAGAACTATTAGCCCCATAGTTCTAAATAAATGTCAGTTTGATGATTCATTAATATAGATTAGAACTATTAACAAGACCTTTAGATCTTTGCTAGTACCTCGTATCCTCATCACCATCCAACCTCTTCTTTTCGGTGAATTCATTACACTCCAGCTTATTGCTTGGGGCAGAGGTTAACCAGCTGGAGGAACACTTGTTCCTCTGGGACTTGAGGAAATGGAAAGGGTGGAGCTGAACAATAAATTTTGAGCTGCAGAAGAGAGCTTTGAGGAGCTCAAGTCAGATCAGTCTCCTAGTAAAGGATTTGAGTGGAAAGCATAAGGAAACTATTTTGGCCCACATTCTAAATAATAAATTTTCTTTCTACAGAACTAAAAACACAGAAACTGACTCACAGGAAAGGAAGTAGTCCTGACTCTCTTAGAAGAGTTCTCTTAACAACGCAAGCTAAGGTAACTAACTATGCCAAAGACAAGTGGAGGAACCATTCCTTTATATTAGATTCAGTTAAGTTCTCTGTATACACTTCTGTGTCTCATTAGAAACATTTTTATTTGTCCTTATATTTTATATCATTTCATCTTATTTTAACAGCAAAAAATTGCCCCTTTTTAAAGTTTTTGTTGTTGAGATCTAAAAGATTCTTATATGTAAATACAAGTATTACAAAGAAAGTGAATTGACAGACAAAATATACATTATGAGATGCAAATACATTAAATTAGTTTCTGGCAGAATCAGTAATCTATGATATCAGAGCTCACACAGGTGCTTTTTTATCTCTAAAAAAATGTCCTTTTCTTGATTGTATTGTTTTTTTTTCTCAGAATATACTATTAGATATTTTTCAGTTAAATATATTTCATAATATATTTACCATTTATTCTATGAAATTCATGAGTATTTATATACAAGTACCAAACATACATTGGTACTTACTTAATGCTAAGGTGAAATTAATAGATAGGTGAAGAAAGTAAATATTAGATATCACCTGGAATATAAATTATCACTGTGAAAATGACTTGTCTACCTATATCCCACTTCCCATACCACAACAGATTTTGTTTTATCTGAGTTTTGAATTTTTGAAGCATTTTGCTTCTCTGCTTGATTTGCTAAAATGATATATGATGACAAAACTTGCCATTTCTGAGGTATTTATAAATTCTGAATTCTAGAAATAAATGTGAGCTATGGATATATATGTGTGTATACAAATACATACATACATATACACATATATAGATATAGATATATAAACACCTTATGAGGCTTGAAAGCTGGCTGTGAGGAATCTTATTTTTAAAGAAAATAAGGAATCCTAATTTTTAAAAAGATTTCTAAAGATTTTTCATAATTCTTTGATTAAATAATCTTTTTAGGCAACATTCTGTGATAGGGTAAAAACATCATTTAACCTTACCTACTCTGACAAAAAATGGTTACAAAAGTATTGACTCTGATTATCATGCTTCTTAGAAAGGTCAAGATGAGTGTTCAAGGTGTGTAAATGTCAACTTCAGATGAGACTCTCCATTTTCAGTGTCTTGGGGTTGTGTTCTGGGATATCAACACATGTTTTACTCATAGACAATATCAAACATTTTTAGAGATGCCCAAATTTGGTATCTGATGGTATTAGTATTAAAAGGATGTTAATAAAACAAAGGTGGATTCTTCCAGGAAAGATGACTAAAGTGAATGACTTCTATTAATAGCATTAAATATATAAAGAGCATAATAATGGTAACTCTTAAAAATAACTTCTTTTTTTTTTTTGGCTATGTGTATTGCTTTTTATAGAATCAGTTTACAGCTGTAAATGCCCCAAAGAAAGAAACTTCCCAGATTGAAGGACCATCTTTAAACAATACTTATGGTTTCAAAGTCAGCGTGCAAAACCTACAAGAGGCAAAAGCCTTACATGAGGTAATTTTTTTTTCTAATACTAAGTAAGATAGCATATATTTTTCTAGAGCAGTTTTGTTTAGCAAAGGTATAATAATATGAAACTATGTCTACATTTTTTATCTTTGCTCCTCTTAGCTGTTTCTAAAAAAAGCCCTATTTTGGTGCCTGTGATGGCATGGAAGTGATCCTGGGTCCTTAAAGGCAATTCCAGTAAACTACAAGCTCTGCCAGGGTCTATAATCTGAAAAAGTTTCAGTTAATAGTTCCAGTGATAGTTTGGGTCCATTGTCCAAGAACCAGCCTAGCTAAATACTGACAGGCTCTTCACCATTAGATTTGTGTGGTTATCACAATGTGATGAATTCTTTGGCCAAGACAAACTATGAAATAAAGGAAAATATAAAATGGCCATGAGTTGCCCCTTTCTACTTCTGTAGTGTTGGTAGAAAAATGGTGGAAAAGGGGCTGAGGGAACCAAGAATCATAGAGTTTTAGATCATCTATCATAAACATTAAACTAATGGTGCTTTAAAAGTGAGGACTTTGTCTATGACCAACAAGTCAGTATGTTACCAGACAAACTGAGCCATGTCAGTATTACATTCTCACTGTGATTGAAGCCAGGAGACATTAGGGAAATTGCAGTAAGTAGAAGGGTGACTCATAGGTTCTCTTTGGAATTGGTTTTACCATGTGACCAAAAACAACAAGCCAGTTCATTGGTTGTTTGGTTATCTCATCTTTCAGTGCTCATAATGAACATAAGAAAAAAAACCCATCACAATGAGAATCATAGTTTATTTACCAATAAGTTTTTCAGAAGATGATGTGGCACAAAATTTCTATGAAGAACTTAAGAAAAGTTGCCAAAATAGTGAATTCAGTGCAAAGGTGAATATAGTAATGGATTGTGAAAAATATGAAAAATACAGATCAGAATTAGGAAACAAAGGAGTTGGAAGATTTTGAAATATTCAGAAACTTCCCTCTATATGTCATGAACACCCTTATTTAAGAAGAGTTGGAGGGTACTGCAGTTGGTGAATTCAAATGAATGAAACAGACCATTTCTTAACATCTAATTATCAATGTGAATGTCATTTCCAAGTCATCCACCTTCATGGTTCAGACCATGGACTTACTAGAATAAAGATAAAAATCAAGTAGAAGGGGGCAGCTAGGTTGTGCAGTAGATAAAGCGCTGGCCTTGGAACCAGGAGAACATGAGTTCAGATCTAACTCCAGGCATTTACTAGCTGTGTGACCCTGGGCAAGTCACTTAACCCCTGATTGCCTAAAAAAAGGGGGCAGGGATGTGCAGCTAGGTGGTGCAGTGAATAGAGCACTGGCTCTGGAGTCAGGAGGACATCAGTTCAAATCTGGCCTCAGTCACTTGATCACTTGATCTTTACTAGCTATGTCACTCTGGGCAAGTCACTTAACTCCAACTGCCTTGCCCCCCCCAAAAAAAAAATCAAGTAGAAGGAAGCATGAAGTGAAAAAGATACTGGAAAGAAATGAAGGGAAAAAAACAGTGGTTTTGTTGACCATTTAGTTTAGCTGATATAAAATAATCACCACAACAAGGAAGCAAAAAGAATGTAGAAACCACCTAACAAAAAGATATGACAACTGAGGAAAACATTGATTTAGAGCATAAACCCATTTGCAGAATATTAGAGAAAGATGATCAATGATTATTAATAATACAGCTATGTGAAACAGCAAGGCATAGTGGAGCAAAAAGCAAATCTACACTAAATTTGGATGAGACCCAACTAAGTGCATTTATAGAATAAACTGGGAGGACAGATACAGAAAAATTAGAACAAATCTGCCAGTGTTTTTATAGTAATTCAGTTTCATGATCTAGTACAATGGAACCACCATATTTAGATGCTTAGTACTTTTACTCTATAATGACTAAGTGCTATTTGAGGAAATGGAGATGTCGTTTAAGAAAATGAAGTTAGCAAGAGTAGCTGAACCAGAATAAGGACACACAGAAGAAATCCATGCTGAAGTCAATAAAATTTTGAAAGCATTGGGGGTAGAAGAGGAATAAATTTTCATGATACCTGTAAAATAGGTAGATACTTTTAAAATGAAATGTTATTATTAGAAGAGAACATCACTCATCAGTTTGGGGAATGGCTGAACAACTTGTGGTATATGAATGGAATGGAATACTATTGTGCTATAAGAAATGATAAGCAAGCACACTTCAGAAAAACCTGGAAAGATTTACATGGACTGATGCTGAGCGAAGTGAGCAGAACCAAGAGAACATTGTACACAGTTAACAGCCACGTTGTACGATGACTGACTTTGATACACTTAGCTCCTCTCAGCAATGCAAGGATCTAAGACATCTCCAAAAGTCTAATGATGGAAAATGCTCTCCATATCCAGAGAAAGAACTATGGAGTTTGAATGCAGATGGAAGCATATTATTTGCTCTTTTTTTTTCTCTTCTGTTTTGTTTCTTCTTGCTTGTGGTTCCTCCTATTGGTTCTAATCCTTCTTTACAACATGACTAATATGAAAATATGTTTAATAGGAATGTATATGTAGAGCCTATATCAGATTGCATGACATCTTGGAGGCAGGGAGGAAGGGGGAGAAAATTTTTAAAATTCAAAAGCTTATGGAAGTGAATGTTGAAAACTAAAAATAAATTAATTTTTGAAAAAGAGGAGAACATCAGTACCCACCCATCACTATGCTTTATTTCTCATTTATAAAATTCTTATGAGAATCTCTATAAACATATCCAGGATATTCTCAATGAAAATAAGAGAATGGAAGAGGCATATTTCACAAATGATCTACAGCAGGACACATCTTCATTAATGTGAATAATTGAATAAAAAAGAGAGCATACTAGATTCCACCATATTTATTATTTACTGTTCGTTTTTAAGCCAAAACTTCCTAGAGCAAAATGCATGCTTAAAGGCTGTCCTCCAACAAAGTATGCCTTTTGTATACATTCAGATCACATGAGATTCCTTGTTAGATACAATCAGAGATAATTTTGTTCATTGATCTCATGACTATCCATATCATACAAATCAAAAGACATGGAGGTCTGTGCTAACTAAAGTTATTAGACCCAGTCATTCATTGTATCTTGTGCACAGTTCAAATGAAAGAATTTTCTGTAGATAATAAAGTTCTCCAGATACTCCTCTTTGGGGTGATATTGTGGTGATTCCATCATGTGCCAAATTCTGCAGGATTCGCTTAACAAAGTCCATGGCTACTGAAAAACAATTTTGCCTAACTATCCACACAGGAAAAAAACAAATAAATGAAGTGTACCTGTTGTTCTGACTATTGATATGCACCTGAATGAGCAGTCTTTTAGCACACTCATATTGGATGGGACTAAATAGAGAGTTGAGTTTGGCCTAAAATTGCATAAATGGAAGCAAGTGGGATTGTATTTGAGAAATTGCGCTTTCTGTGATCCAAACTTATTCCTAAAACTAAAACCCATTTTTAATACCAATATTCAGGCAATAATTTGAACTCTCCAAAGAATCAACATTGAAGACAACCCAAAAGGCAATTGAGTTATGCATGGTAGGAGTAGACTACAACATATTACCAACAGTAGAACAATAATGAATTCAGGAAGTGGTATCATCATTCGGGGCATTTATATGATCAGAAAAGGAGGTGGACTAGTTATACAGGAAGAGCAAAGGATAATATCCCAGTATTGGTGTCTGTAGAATGTCAAAAGAACTAAAGAAAAATCTCAAACCCAATGAATAATTCACATAGGGAGAATTTATGGATGGGGAGTAGACTGCACAGATGAGTTTCAGTTCATACCTTTGGAGGTAATATCCATGTTAGTGAAGTCATAGATTAATTGACATTTTTACTATTATAATACGTATTTAAAAGGTGAAAGTCTCAGAAGCAGGATTCTACTGTTGAGATTAACTTGTAGTGTCATATCTGGATTTTAGGGTCTGGTTCAGCTGTTCTTACTGACTTCATTTTCTTAAGTGCCTGATTTAGCAAGGTGAGATCTGAGATGTTAAGAGTCCAAATGAAATGATTCCGTTGTCATACTTGATTGTGTAAATATGAATCCTTTACTACTAAAATTCAGTTTAAAAAGAATATATCAAATATATATATTTAATATATTAATTAAATACATTTAATATATTAAAAAATATATTAAAACCTAAATGACCTTTTTAAAAACCCTTCTGAGCATTTGACAGCAACATTGTTATATGTTTATTCCGAAGTTGGAGCCTAATGCTAGTGAAATCCTGTTTTCAGGCTGGCCCTTGCAATTCTCAAATAGAAGGGGCCCTGTGTCCCTGATACCACAGATACAGCAACTGACCAACTGCTATCAATGGGCAGGTAAGCCCAATAGCCCCAGGAATAGGAGTACCCCCAGACCACCAACCCTGGTGCTGTCAGTACAGGGAACAACCCTTGTGGAGATGTCACCTGGCAACTGCCTTTGCGGATGCTGCAGCCCTCATCTCCTCAGCCTTTATAGATTATCACCACCAAACTTCTTGGCATTGTCAAATTGTTCAGTATCAAAAATAGATGTGTGTTGTTCAGGGAAGCAACATTAAAGAATAATGCTTTCCATCTGCTTTGCTGGTGTACCCTAATAATCACTGGGCCTTCATCTGACTTGCTGCTGAAACTTCCTAAAAGTGTTGTCTTCCACCTATTAGAATGTGAGTTCCTAAGAGCAGTTAACTGTCTTGTTTTTCTATTTGCATTCCCAGAACATAGTACAGTGCTTTATACATAATAAGTACTTACTAAATGCTTTTTCATTCATTCAGGATCATCAAGTCAGTCTCTTTATCACAGGTTAATATCACTATGTTAATGCACCTTAAATCTAGCCAGCTGTCTTTAAAATTTGTGCTATTGGATATTGCAGGAACTAAGGTTAAAATACCTGAGTGGATTTCCTCAAATTGATCACTATTAGAGTAAAGCCACTTAAATCACATATTGTACTGTCAGTAGGTCAATAGCCATAGACAGGTCAAGCAGATGGCAACAATAAATTGTTACTATTTGTGTCTCATTAATTATCTTAAACTTAACACATGAAAGTTTTATGTATAGACAGATTAAGTTCTAGAAGGGTTGGACAAATGACCTTGCTGAAAAAATCCCCCTTACTTTATGCATATTGGCTAATGCCTGAAATTTTACTGGTTAGAACTTTGTCCCTTTAGCTCAAGCCTCTGATCCCTGATGTAATGCAGATATCCCTGGGAGAACTAATACATTACTGTTATTAGCTATTTTCATCTTAGTGTGAATGATGGAGCAGGTAGCAGGTTTTTATATGAAGATCATTGGAGAAAGACTAAGGGTACCACCTGCCTGGGAGCAGCTGAGAAAACTGCAAGAGTGGGACTGAAGACATTGTCTTGTTCCACTGTTTTTCCTGGAGGCATTCTAGTCTGTAAAAAACATGGAATTTATGTAATTTATGAGGAAGACATCAAATACAATTTCATTTATAACTCAAGATTTAAACTTAAAATCATAGAACTTTAGAGTTGAAAGGAATCTCAGTGATCAACTTTTTCATATGCATGTAAGTAACCAGTCTCATTTCAGCCTTTTCATGAGCATATAATGAAACTGAGACCCAGAAATGCTTAATAACTAGCCAGACGCATGTAGGTAGTGAGCAGTAGAGTTAGAAGTAGAACCCATATTTCTTGATTCTTAATTTGTACTGTCCTGCAGCCTCCCTTAATGTGTTTTCTTCTTCATTTAGAATTTCACCTTCTAGAGCTACTGAATTCAAATATATTCACAATAGTTCTTGGTCATCATAACATTTTTTTCTTGCAATTCTAACTCAAATCTAAAGGGCATATTTGTTCAAGTAGTGAATACTAATCTAACAAAAATTCATCTTCCTTTGGCCAACTAAAACTTTGCACAGAATTTTTTGCTTTACCTTTTATCATTTAAAAACTAATTTTTCATTTTCATATCTAATTGTTCATTTTATCAACTTTTCATCATCCCAATTTAGATATTATACATATTCGTCCACCTAACCAGAGAAGGCTTTTTGGCTCTTTTCTTCCAGTATTACTTAGAATGTCATTTAAGTGGCACCTAGTGGCAGAATTAGAAACTGATACAGCAGCTCGCTCTTTCCACTTCACTTTCTTCCCACTTAAGAAGGCTATGCATAGCTATGTTATCCCTTTTCCCTCTGTTTTTAACCACTCATTGCTTAGTCTTTTCAGCAGTTTAAATATCCGTATCTCCAGCTATTCCTCATATATCTCCTAGGCTCCTCTCCCTTACTTGTCACCCTCCTCTGGACATAATCTAAAGTCCCTGTTAAAATGTCCTTCTCAAAACTGGGAGGAACTGAGCTACCAGCAGAGAAAATGAATTATTACCTACCTTATTCTGGGCATTCCACACATATTAGTGTAGCCTAAGTTCATGTTAGCTTTTTTGACAGTTATATCACATCTTTTGTTTTAACCATGTACTTCATTAAATTCTTTTTAAGGTAGTTCATACACCATTAACAACAAGTCAGAAATCAATTCTTATCCAAACAAGATAGAAGGGCAAAAGATAAATTAGTCATTACATAAAATTGAAAAGTTGTTGCATAAACTAAATTAATGCATCTAGAATAATAAAGAGAAGTAGTCAACTAGGAAAAAGATCTTTATGTCAGGTATTTCCTGATAAGGGTTTGGTGTTTGTACAAAACTAATACCATTATATAAAAGCAAAAGGTCTTGACAGAGTCCAAAATATTAACAACCATATGATAGAATGCTCCAAATTATGAATAAGAGGAATACAAATCAAAACAACTCCATCCAGCACATTAGTAAAGAAGATGAAAAATAAAAAGTTAATTTTAGAGAGGTTGTGGAAAGACAGGCACACTAATGCATTTGTTGGTGAAACTGTAAATTACTAGTTTTCTGCAAAGTAGTGTAGAATTATGCAAATAAAGTAGCTACAATGTCCATCTCTCTTGACCCAAAGATTGTACTGCTGGGCCTATATATACTTCAAGAAGGTAATTGATTAAAAAGAAGACCCCCATATATAGTAAATTTTTATAGCAACACTTTTTGTGGTAGCAAAAAACTAGAAACAAAGTAGATTATCATCAATGGGGAATGACTAAATAAACTGTGGTCCATGAGCATAAGGATGAATACAGAGAAAAATGAAAAGACCCTCATGAATTGATGCAAAATGAGCTAAAAAAGAGCTAAGTAAAAAATATATACAATGATTGCAGCAATGTAAATGGAAAGAACAACCACTAGAAAATAATAAAAAATGACTGTTATAAAATTATAAAGAAGATGCTTTGGCCCGAAGAAGAGATGAGAAGACTCTCTTCTCCCTTCTGCCTTGCAGAGGAAATTTGGCATATAATGTCAAAATTTTTTAATATATTGATTTGCTGAAATTTTTTCTTTTCTTTTCTTTTTTTAAAGTTTTGTTATAAGAGATGGCTCTCTGGGAGGGGAAGGAAGAGGCAGTATGAAAACAAAGGTATCATTAAAAATCCATCCCAAGTTACTATTAAAAATTACCAAATTTGGTCCTAGAGGAGAGATGAGAAAGTGTACCAACCTCCCTTCTCCGCAGAGCTAAGCATCTCTGGGTATAGAATATTGCATATAAACTGTCAGATTAGGTTGATATACTGGTTAGTTTATTAAACTGCTTTTTTCCCTTCTTATTCTTTGTTTGAAGGGATTGAGTATTTTTTGTATTTCTATAGAACCCTTAAAGAATGCTTTGCAGAAAGAAGCAACAATAGAAAAAATTCTAAACACTGTCTAGAAATGTTTTAATTATTCAAGAGATGCCACATCTTGTAAGGAATAAAAATAGGGGAGGAGAAATGATGAATGTATGTACATATACATACATAGGTATATATTTCTATTTAATAGCTGGAACTTATATAGCAGTTTAAAATTTACAAAACACTTTATGTATGTTAACATATATTAAATACAAGTGCACATCCTTGTATATATATAAAAATCAAAATTATGCAAAAATAGTATATTAGGGTTTTTTAAAATTCTTATGATGCCTTTTTTTCCACATGTCAACATGACTCAATGATGAACACATTTCTTGTTTCTGTTTTGTAGATCCAAAATCTGACACTCATCAGTGTAGAGTTGCATGCTCGAACCAGACGAGACTTGGAGCCAGATCCTGAATTTGATCCTATATGTGCTTTGTTCTACTCTATCTCATCGGATACCGCACTACCAGACACGGATAAAACAGAACTCACAGGTGTAATTGTAATTGATAAAGACAGCACAATCTCCAACCAAGGTATTTGTAACTTTCATAACTATAGATAAATGAAAATATTGCCCTAGCAACACCTGAATTTTAGAAGGACTCCATGAAAGGAGGGGGTGTCACTGCTATAAATCTACTGTTTACCTTTAGAAGGTTAAGCCGATTCAAAAATTTTTGCTTAGGAGCCCAGAACTAAATTTTAGCATACTTATTTAATTATCAGTAAAGGTAGAAAACTGTAAAATTTTGAGATTCTGATAGGATGAATAACTATATAACCAGTCATTTTAAAAATAATATATAAAAATTTAGATGGTGAACACTATAACACTATACCCCCCTCCATGTGCATGAAAATTAGAGCATGCAAATGACATCCATATCCATTAATGTATCATTTATCTGCTTTATCATGCATTTATGTACTGGATTATCCTAATATAATCTGCTTTTGGAAATTATTATAAAGAATTCATTAAATCTGTTAATTTTCTTTTTCATCTCTTCATGAAAATACACATTTTAACTCTTAATACACATTATCTACCTTGTAAATTATTTTAGAGAACACTGGATTGTTTCTCTGCAGTTTTAATGGTAACCATTTCATATAGTAATTTTGACCACAGGAAAGGATAATAGGCAGAAGCAAAATAATGAATTTACTGAATTCTGTTTTCATAGAAATAGGAGGTTTTAAGATGCATTTGTATATTATTGCATATATTAAAATTTTTGGTTAAATGAATTATGTTTTTGTGTTAGAAAAGATTACTATAATGAGAGATTCTGGTAACTTTATTTTAAAATAAAGCTAAAAGAACTTACAGAGTGACATACAGTAAATATTTTATTTGTTTGCTAGGTATCAGAAACCAGACTCCATTACTTATTCGTTCTGGAATTACAAGATTAGAAGTCACTTATGCTGCTGATGAAAAGGCACTTTTCCAAGAGATAGTAAATATAATTAAAAGGTATTGTTTTATATGTTACAATTTTCTTTTTTCTTTTTTGCTCAAAGCAGTTGAATAGCTCTGTCAGCTTCTTACTGAAAAAATTTCTGTTAGTCTGAAAAATGTATGTTAGTTATTTTCTTCAAGTCTTATCTCCCAGACAATCAGTGTGCTTGTCTCAGAATAAAACTGTTACTGTGTTCTGCTTCTCTTCTAACTTGTCACCTACTGTTTTGAGGGCAGTTAAGAGTACATAAGCCATCTTTTAAAAAAAATAAACAAGGGGGCAGCTAAGTGGCGCAATGGATAGAGCTCCAGCCTTGGAGTCAGGAGGACCTGAGTTCAAATCTGGCCTCAAACACTTGACACTAGCTGTGTGACCCTGGGCAAGTCACTTAACCCCAATTGCCTCACTAAAAAGCGAACAAAATAATTTTTAAAAAATAAACAAAACCTTCCTCTCCTTGCCTCACCTCGCCATTGTAGTTCTCAAGTCTAGTGCACATTGTGTCTGCACAAAACCAGCCCCTCACAATGGTGTCACCATTAAATCTTCGGTGTAACTATTTACTTAACAAGACAAAATCACGAATCACCAATATATCACAGGTACTCAGCATAAAGCAAATGCAAGAATAATCAGTATATCGCAATCTACACGTAAACGTGGGTCACATTCTCCCACCTATGTACTGTGTATCTGTCCAGGAAAATGCTTACGTACTTACATACTTATAGGAGCATGGCAGGGAAGGCACCTGAGTGCCATGGAAGGGCAAGCTAGGATGTCATTGGTCTATTCAGGAACATCTGCACTACAGGACCATTTTTCTGTTGCCTTCTCTTATGATCTTTACTCTCCTGCTGGCCAAATCCTCTCTGAAACTGATAAAGCAGTTTCAAACTCTTTTAACTCACGATCCATTAAGCCAAAGAACTAAAAAGTTTATTAAGCTGGCACTCTCTGGGTATTGCAAACAAAGCCAGCCATTTCTTCACTTTACCGCAATTCTGCATCATCCAATCAGTTGTCAGCCTATTGGTCTTAGGAAAGATCTGCTACCAAGCTTTTCATTTCTCCTTTCTGCTTTTCCCTCAAACCAGAGGGGGCAGCAAAGAACAATAGGCCTTTCTGAAAGGCCTCTCTTTTCTCAAACCATAGATGGTGCTAGAGGGCAGTAGCTGAAATTAGAGTGTATGACTTCAGCTCTCTTCCATTGAGAATCCCCCTTGTCAGCTGGCTCCCTCCTGCTGGTCTCCTGATAGAGCAGTATTACCTCTGGCTTTTCCATCCCTGCTAAGTTTTTCTTCCTGCTTATTTCTTCCATATTTGCCAGCTCTTCACTGACCACCTAGGTTTTTCACTATTTTCAATAGCTCGAATCAGATCTTCCTGGTCATCAGGTATTCATCTTTTTCTAATGATATAAAAACTCATCAATACCCCATTTCTGTTATAAAACCAACACATCTTATTTAGTCATCTCACACTCCCCAGATAGCTATTTGATTTATTATTTTGTGAGTTTTAGCTTTGGAAGCCTTCAAAACAGTTACATGCAGACAATTTGAGAAACCCAGTGCCCTACATCCTTGGCTATTTCTCAGTCCCCAGACTTGTCCACTGAACATTCTATGCTTTTTTACACTAGCATTTTATAAATGTGTAGTTCATAGAAATTATCTTTCTGCCCCTTTCGGCATAAAACTATTCGCATAGAGCTATTCACATAATAAAAGAGCAACACCTTACATCCTTTACAAGGTGACTTAAGCCATATTACTTATGCAAAAGTTCATTTTCTGCCCCTTCTAACAACCAAACTACTCACATCTTTTCTGAAACTATGCCTCTTTGCACATGGATTTTTTAATAGTTTTTTATTAAACAAAAGGTGTTTTTTCTGCTTCTTATAGCCACCAATCTGTTCACTTGTGAAAGGGCCATTGCATTCTTTCCAAGTTATTTATTGCATCTTTGTTATGGAAAAGCACTTTTTTGCCCCTTTCAGCAGCCTTAACTGCTCATATCTTAAAGGGACATATATCACAAAGTGCCCAGTAGACCTAAAAGAAAAGATGGTGGCAGCAAAAGTTGTATATAGGACCCTTAAAAAATGCTTTGCAGAAAGAAGCAACAACAGAAAAATTCTAAACACAGTCTAGAAATGTTTTAATTATTCAAGAGATGCCACATCTTTTAAGCAATAAAAATAATTTTACTAAATTTAAGCATCAAAACTTCCCTTCCTCAGAATTCAATTTCAGTTTGGTGTACTGTTTAGTCAACAATTTTGTGAAAAGATTTTAGCTAACGTTAAATTTTTTTTCTCTCTGGTTTTCATTTCTATTTTGATTATAACCACTGGCATCAATAGAATTCTGCCAAATTTAAATAATCTTGGAAGCTCTAAAATAAAGTCATCCAACCCACTAACATCCTTTGTAGACAAATGTCATTTATGGCAGAAGTTCTGTGCCTTTTCAGCTCTGGAGAGAAATGGAAGAGGAGTGAGATTTGTTTTCAGGGAGAAGTAAAAGGAGTTTAAAGTCAAGTCCTCCTGCCCTTGTAGTGAGAGAAGAAAAGAAAGTCTCTGTCTGTCTAGAGAACAAGGAACACAGAAATCGTACTACCTGAGTAGATTCGGGCACAGGTAAACTCTGTGGTAGACACTGAGTCTCATGGTATAGGGAAAAATGTATTCCCTAGCTTCCTGATTTCTCTGTGAATTCAGTATACATTTTCCCATAGATTCAATAGGAAATTGATTTTTTGTTTTTTGTTCTGTACTTCCGTGGAAAACTAAACAAAGACTAACCTAGGCGTCTTATCATCATTGTATGAAGTTTTTCTATAGTATAAGGCATTTTGAATTCCAGACCACCAATTTACAAACTATTGGACCATAACCTGTTTGTAATTTGGTTAGTTTTCTAGATTGTCTGTATTATTGCCAATACTATTTCATGCCTATTTTCTAATTTTATTTTTCCAATTAACAAGCATTTATTTTCTCTCCCTCCACTCCCAATTTAAAAAGAAAAACAAACCTTTGTAACAAATATCATTGTCAAGCAAAACAAATTTCTACACTGTCCATGCGCAAAATTCTGCGTCTTGAATCCTTCTCTTAGGAAGTATGTAGCATAGATCATCGTTAGTCCTCTAGAATCATGATTGTACATTGCATGGTCAGAGCTCTTAAGTCTTTCAAAGTTTTATGGCTTTACGGTGTCATTTTTGTTTAAATTGATTTCCTGGTTTGCTCATTTGACTCTGCATCAGTTCATGCAAGTTTTCCCATTTCATAAAAGTTTTCTCTGAATCCATCCATTTTGTCATTTCAAGTGGCACAACAGTGTTCCATTACATTCCTATAACAAAATTTGTCCAGCCATTCCCTTACTAATTGGCACACTCTTTCCCTTTCTTTGACGCTACAAAAACAATGATTGTAAGTTTGTGTATGTGTACATTCTTTGATCTCTTTGGGTTATAGGCCTAGTAGAGGTATCTCGTGGTCAGAGGATATGCAGGTTTTAGTGCCTTTTGGGGCATAGCTCTAAATTGCTTTCCAGAATGACTGGACCAATTCAGAAGCTTCATCAGCAGTGTAATCTATATTTTTTAAACTCACTTGGATAATCTGGTATTTCATATTAGTTTATTAATTTTAATAGTTATTAACAGAAAAATATGAGGAAGGTCATAAAAATAACCATGTATACCCCAAGATAGTAATTCTTGCTAGTCACAGGCATTTCCAGCCTTTTTAAAAACTTCAGTTCTTTAGTAATTTAAGGTTTCTCTTCATTGCTTGCTTTAGTCATTTAACTACCTTAGACAAACTGAAAAATGCCCCTTAGAATCTGAAGTTACTTAACTTATTAGCTTTAGCTTAAGTATTTTGTTACCCTAGACAGCTGCTTAAGTTGCTTGCTTTATAGTTATTAGTTGACCTGTTTCCTATTTAAAGGAAAAAAAGTACCAAAGTGGGAGTTTGCACAGAGGAAAAAATATAGTGGGGGACAGACCTTAGACTGAGCCATATGGACTGAAAAATAAAAAATTTTTTTAAGCCTAGAGAAGTGTTTTCTACAAAATGATGTATTGAATTAAATGACACAACTTCAAAACTGTTACCATTCACTGTGTCTGTAAAATGAAAGTAAGATTTTTTTGTAGCTAAGAATTGGTATTATTGAGTCTTCACAGTATCCATGCTGCTTTTCCTTTTTTCAGAGAGGGTGTCTGAAGCATATAGATTTCCAGTACCCACACTCCTATTTCAGCCAACAGTACTAGCCAAAGGCACATAAGAACTTAAATCAATACCAATGTGTATATGTACTAGCATATGCCCAATAATGTCACTAGAAGTTGCATACTTTTTTTCTTGCTGTGTAGGCAGTTTCCCAACAGAAGGAATATCTTCCAGGATTGAGAATTCTGTCTGTCTTTTGCAGGTGCAAAACTTTTCCCAAATGTTTTCTCTAAGAATCCGAATTATACCAGTAATTAAGAAAATATGGCAAATGTAAATCGTGAAAAGTAGCTCTGGGCTTTTATTGTCAGACAAATACCATATGAACAGTAGAAAGAGTATCAAAATGTTAATCCTACAATAACTTTTCAGTTCTATATCTACTTACTAAAAGGCATGTTTTCCCGTGTTGAATCCTTATGGGACATATGGCAAACACAGGGAAGTAATGTGGCAATGGAAGAGCCACCATGGGACTGGAGAGAACTTCATTCCATATAGTGTTTCTTCCTAAAAGAATTAATTTTTAGATATATAAGATGTAGAAACTGTCTAGAGAGAGATGCTGCAGTTTGACTAGTTGATCTATCACCTCTAAGACTGCAATGATTTGCTTAACTCAAGACTTCTTGATTATATTATAATATAATATAATAGTTATTATATTTAGCTTTTTTTGGAGCAAAATCAGAAGGGCCTTGTCCCTGCTGTAGTATTCCAAACCCACAAGACCCCTGTCCTTAAAAATAAATAGGA